ACATCGCTTTTGTGTTACAAATATCAAAACAATAACAGAATATATCCGTCGTAAACTAAACCAGAAACAGCAGTATATTTGATTTTGTTAACACTGTAAACTTGACAGCTTTTTAACCCGCACCTCCTACTGGTTAAAGCACGTTATTACACGTTTAGAGTAATTGCAATGCAGGTAGATTGTGTTGCTTTTTAATGACTGTTTTAAAATGCCTTTTTCTTAATGTCTTTCATTTTTGTAAAGCACTTTTGAATGTGTTATATGTGTTGTTGATGAAAACATTTAAATATTAAGAGTACACAAGGGTGTAACTTTGGTTTGAGAAGTGGGGGGGACACAAAACAGGGGGTCCTCCGCAATGAAATATTTTCTCAATTTAATTCCATTTCCTGCCTTTCTACAAATATATTAGGGACTATAGTGTTAACAAATCCAAGAAAAATGTGTAGTGTATATAATGAGTGTGCACACTTATCTAGTATCCTATCCATGTGAACCTGTTTTATTTGTGATTACCTGACATCCTCTAGGGGGGTCCGGGGGCATGCACCCCGGGAAGATTTGTTTCTTTAAATTGAAGTTGAATGCATCAATCTGGTGCACTTTGAGGGCAACATTAAGAGATTTATGGATACAGTTCTCAACACTCATATGAAACAGAACTGTATATATTTCAATAATCAAAAAGCCATTAGAATATGCTCACAACCAATAACAAATCATTGATAAACTCCTCTCTCCTATCTTTATCTTACCTAGTCTGCATTTTTTTATTTTATTTATGCATATTTGACTAATCACTCCCCTTTCAAACTGTGTTTTTTATTTTTGTACTGACCTATAGTACACATTGGAAGGATTTCTTAACTTATTTTATATACAACTATATATTACATAGATGGAAATATTTGTTTACATAGATGACCAAACCGTTTGAGACCCACTGAGATAACTAGACTAAAGTTTACAACCTAATCACTCAGAGAGTCCTTTACCTCCCTGAGCTGACGTTATCTCTCTCAGTCCGACAGGAGAGGACTCTCCCTCTCCTTATTGTTGAAACAGCTTCTAATCTCCGTTAGCTCCGAGCTAGCACCAGATGCTAACAACAACCCACGTAACTCTCTCAGTCTCTCTCTCTCTCTCTCTCTCTCTCTCTCTCTCTCTCATCTCTCTCTCCTCTCTCTCTCTCTCTCTCTCTCTCTCTCTCTCTCTCTCTCTCTCTCTCTCTCTCTCTCTCTCTCTCTCTCTCTCTCTCTCTCTCTCTCTCTCTCTCTCTCTCTCTCTCTCAGTCTCTCAAAGTCCGACTGGAAAGAGCTCTCCCTCTCCTTATTGTTGAAACAGCTACTAATCTCCATTAGCTCCGAGCTAGCACCAAATGCTAACAACAACCCCCGTAACTCTCTATGTCTCTCTCTCTCTGTCTCTCTCTCTTTTTATCTCTCTCTCACAAGATGCACTCGTGCCACACACACACACAGACGCTCCTCCGTGACGATGACCGCTTGCGTAAATTAAAAAAAAAAAATAAAATTAATTAATTAATTAAAAAGTGGGGGGGACACAAATGGGATTTTGAAAAGTGGGGGGGACATGTCCCCCCTGTCCCCAGTGGAAATTACGCCCATGAGAGTACATACAAAATAGTGGGAAAGTAGAAGGTCAATGATAGAAATATAGAATAGAAAATATCAAGAAGATACTGTAAATGATCACTAGAATAAGTGCCTGATAGGAGGATGTGCAAAACAGACAAACTAATAAGGCTTTATTTAAACATTAAAGAATACTTTAGGTTAAGGTCTTCTTTTAAATAAGAAAAAAGCTTTGGGGGTATCTACAGATAAATATTAAGCCTGACAAAGTACTTAAAGTCTAATATATTGCATGGTTTGTTTTGGAACTTGACAATCAACTTTCCTGCAATGTTAACTATGTTGAAGCACTTATTTGAACCGATATTATACATATTTATTATACTCTTATAAGATGTACGTAGATAGAATAAGAAATGTGCAGAATATGACAGTTTAATGGTGGAGGTATACACACATATTGATAGATGTCTTGTAATGCACTGTTGAGGAACCTCTGACCCAAGTTTTTCATTCATTGCATAACCACACCGTAGTTGTGTATATGATATGTCAATAAACCTTAGAAAATCTTGAAATCTTGAAAGGGATGTGCAAAATAGCCATTATATACAGTCTTTAATGAACGATTAGAGAATAACGAGTAATGAATATGCTTTATAGGGATCTGCAGATAAATATTTAGTCTTCTCAAGCACCAACTATCAAATATCTCGCCTGATTGTTGGCACTTGACAATCACCTTCACTGAATTTTACTCAGGTGTAACTAAAGTCTGATTTAAGGGTTGTTTATATTTCACATCATTAATCCAAATCTGTAAAGTAACTAAAATAAATGTAGTGGAGTAAAAATACCAGGTTAACCTTAAAGAAAGCCCTCAGGATTATAAAAGACCCCCATCACCCCAGCCACAAACTGTTCTGTCTGCTGCCGTCTGGCAGGCGGTACTGCAGCATCCGGACTAAAACCACCAGACTCAGGGACAGGGTAGGACTCGTTCGATTCCTGTTTTGAATAGTGTGCCGTCGATGGGTTTCATTCCATTTCAAAGTGCTGTTTGACGCTCGGCGTAAACTTCGCGCACTGCCACTCCAACATCCAATCACAGAGCTTGAGGACTAATCACGGGATTTGTCAAGCAAAGCACATGGTGTAGTCCCAAACGATAGCTGAGGATTCTGGGTAGTGTAGTGTCTTCTGCCACCCTAAACTCAGAAAAAATATTTGTTTCTCCGAATCGAAGGGGAAAAACACAAAAGCATTGTACACAATTTAAACCAATCAATGTTGTTTAATTAACAAGGATAATCTGGTGTTTTTGAGTTGATGAGTGGTGCAGATATCACTGTAAAATCAATCGACAGTAAGGAGAATACTTACTTCCTGGTGTAAAATCCTCCGTTATCCAATGGGAATGGACGCTCACATTGCCTTTAACTGCCGCAGACATGGACCGATGCGGTGCTTCCCTGAGCGTCAAATACCGCCGCCGATGGGAATACATTGCAATCAGTTGAAAGCTCTTTGCGTCCGTTTATGAAGCTGAAGGAGACTCGGCGCGTCACAACTGCACGCCAAAGGACCCTGACCAAGCGTCGCTATTGGAGTGAGACTGTGTTGTTTGGGCTGATGTTGCAAAGAAAAACCAAACCACTATCTGTTTCCCTCAGCCCCTACTGGCTACATCTTTTGTAGAACACCATCGACTATTACTGACTTTAAGCGATCTGTGGAGCTATCTATTCTAGCACTAAAATACTTGAAAACATTTTTCTTTTTCATTTAATCGTTTATTTGAATAGGGACAATGCACATTGATGAACACTTTAGACAAATAATGCTTCAAGTGTAAATATGCCGGATTTTAGCTTTGAGCTAATTTCCATCCGTAGTCCCGTCACATACAACATATAAGAACATGACATTTGTAAACATAGCAAAAAATAAATACATGATATGCAGAAAGAGCATGAGCAGCACACACAAGTATTTACCACATGGCAGTACAATATAGCAGCAACGACATATTAAGTGCAAGAGATGATACAAGAGATGCATAAAGTGCGAGAGGAGTTACCCCTGTATTAAAGTGCATTTAGTGGTGATTGCACGTCTGGTTGTTTCTCAACCATTCTTTGAGTTGACCTTTGAAGCTATTGAGAGTGGCACAATCCCGTATCTCAGTTGGGAGGCTGTTCCACAATGAGCTGCCTTTAATGGAAAGTACATTTTGTCCAAAAGTGGTCCGTCTACGGTGGATTTCACAGTCTCCTCTGGTTTCTGACCTAGTGCAGCGTCCAGTGTGTTTTCTGTGGATGAATTCCCCTAAGGGAGGGAGGGGGGGCCAGTCCATGTAAACATTTATAAAAAAAGCACATACTTTTAAAAGACTTAAAATTGTCAAAACTCAAGAAATTGTGTTTTTCTAGGATGGTACAGTGGTGGTATGAATAAGGCTTTCTGTCAAACACCTTGATAGCTCTCTTGTACAGCTGTTCTATGGGTTTCAGGTTTGTGGCACAAGCAAACGACCAGTTTGCAAAACAGTATTCAACGTGGGATAGAATCATACAGTGGAGGTATGACTTTGCAGCATTGCCAGTTAAGAAAGGTCTGATTTGTTTAAAATGTTGCAAGTTGAATTGAAAACAATGCAGAATAAGCACTGCATTTTGTTTTCCGGCTTTGTGCTGCATATCAGGCCTTTATTTTCATTTAGTTTTTGTAATTTCAATACATTTAAAGGGATTAAGTCAAATAGAAAGCAGAATATGTGTGTTCATGTCACCTAGTGGAACAGTGTGGCTTGTTGATGTGTTTATTTGAACATCAATGGAGCTCTATGGCACAGAAGATCAGGTCTTTATACATACCCTCACTACAGTAATAAAAAGTAGATTATCCCCAGACTCATACCTTAAAAAGTCAAACACTTTACACATTTCAATTATGAGATAAGTGTTTCATTATTTTTGACTTATGGAAGAAAATATTTTTTATTTTCATCATTCCAACACTTTATTTTCCTGCTGTACACATATTTTGGACCTTAATTTAGGCTTTTTTCAGGTTCACTTCTGATCTTAGATGTTCTCACTTTAGGTTTCTTATAAAGTAGAAACCTAATGGACTGTACCTCACAGGATCAGAGTTAGCCTCAATAATGATAATAATATTAATAATTATAGTATTAACCTTTGAAAATGAGTTATGAAGTGTTTTACAAAGACATAAAGAGAACAGACAATACAAAACATGTAATGTATTCAGTAATAATGACAAGTGAGGTATGATAAAGAACAGGAAATACAAGAGATTCAAGAGAAAGCTATTCTGAAAAAAGGGTTTTTAAAAGAGAGGTTTGAGAAAACAATGTGTATCATGATGGTGTTTTTGTTTCAGATGTCTATGAAGCAGAGTACAGCAGGGGCAGCCGTCTGCCATGTATGTGAGGCGGGCTGCTCTGGATACCAGCCACATTCCTGGAGGTATACTGCTTTTTATTATATTATAATTTCTCTCTGCCAGGAACCACAAGAGAGAAAAAAAGAATGCTGAACACACTCTTTGTGGTTTCTCTTCGCTCTCTCAACGACTCTCTGCTATTAAAGGAAGTTGTTGGTGGTTTTGCATACTTCTATCCCGTTGAGAGGATGAAGTGAGAGTCTGCTGTTCTGCACCAACAAGCTTAGACTACATGGACAAAAGAAAGATGTCTGTTTTCTTACACCAAAACACTAACTGTCTGTTTCTACAGATGGAAAGACCATGAGGGATGATGTCCCACTTATTTGTTTACTGTTAGCTCCATCAGTGTTGCACCACTTTCTTAAAGTGGACCTATCATGCTATATTTGAATAATATAGTGTAGGACCATACCTATATAAGGCATATTTATACTTTTTTTTTTGCAAAATACCAAACAGATCATGCATTTTAGCCATGTTTGTAAGGGCAGATAAGGGCAGAACAGCACCATCTACAGGCCTGGCATATGTACTACAGCGTCTCCAGCGCTTTCGAACGGCAATGGCCGTGACTGTCTCCTCCTGATTGGTGGAGTTGGCCCAATAGCCGTAGCGCCACTGTCCTGACGTCAGTAAAGTGTTCAAATCTGGATCAGTTTTGATCAGATCCGTTGCAGCCCCTTTTTTAGAGTTTTGGGTATGGAGGAAAATAGAGAGGGTTGTGTTTTCTGACACTTGGTGAGTTCCCTGGAACACCGGGGACACATATTCATGTATAAAAGACGTACAAAAGTGCATTTTGCATGATAGGTCCCCTTTAACTGAAAACATAATTTCCCTATATTAAAGCGATTTGGCTCCCTGACAAACCCCTAAGTTTACGAGTTTATTTCTTGTTACAGAATTTCCAATTTCTTTTTCAGACCTCATTACCTCATCCCTGTTTTTTTAATAAAAACCTACATTGGCTCTTATTCGCTTCCTTAGAAAACCCTTTGCAAGTCGCTGAATTAACATTTTCCTTAAATATCTTTCTCTACTTATTCTTCATTTACCTGTGCAGAAAAGCCTGTATCAGCTGTGGTTGTAGCGCGGTGGACCATGCTCCGGGGAGTGACCTTGAAGATGACCAGCGAATGGGACGCCTGCTCTCAGACTCCCCATGCTCCCACCTGACAGCGAAGGTCAAAGGAGGCGGCGGCCTTCGCATATACAAGAGGAACCGCATGATCGTGACCAATCCAGTGGTGTCGCGTAAAGACCCGACCTTCAACACCACGACGTACGACTGGGCGCCGGCCGGCCTCCACCAAACACTGGTGAGGATCCGTGGGAAGATCAGGAAGTTGGATGCTCTTGTGAAGTTGAGAAAGCTTGTAAAGTCACATTTTCTATAGCAGATTTTCTTTGAGGCTGAGATCTGAGGACTTTGCAGGACAATGCTTTGTGTTTAAAATAAATCAGTTTGTTAAGTAACTTCAGCTACGGATATAACATTATGTGATATTGTAAATCAATTTTGATATAATGTCTCACAAATGAACACACATTTTATGAAACTTATAACATTTAATGCAATAGCAAGGAGTAAAATGTCTATAACCCAACTTCAAAACGGTTGCAGGACTTGCATCCCCACCACTCAGCTAAAGGCACACTCATCTTCCACATGATGACGTTAGGCAGTCTCATAGTTCACTATGGGGTATTTACAGACAGATTTCATGTCGTAGAACAAAACGTTAAAATCTTTTCAGCTTGTTTAACCATAGACCATGTTTCAGGCTGCTAACCAAAAACACTTACTTAAGACAAAGCAACCCGGGGGGCTGAAAATGCCAACTCATTTCAGGTTTTAGGGCTCATTCCTGCACCACTTTATTGGTATTCTAATTACTAATCAGTAACTGGAACAAATGTAAGACCAGTCCTCAGTTCCTTGTCTTTTATGTTTGTTTTTATCCTACTTTGTGCATGCACATGCTCACAAACAAACATAAACAACTTTTTTTTCCCATCCTAGAGGTTTACCAATGGGATGTATCACTATACTCATTAGTATGGTTAGTTTCTGCAGCTCTTCGTGTGTTGAACAGTGTAGGCCGTCTGGTTGTCATTAGATAGACGTTTCATGTTTCACATCTATCATTATAAGGATGACAGTGGTTATTGAGAGCTGCGGTCTGGAAAACCTTCCCCTAAAAACTAAATGTTGTTTGCCTAATGTTTTTCCACTTTAAATGATGCTGCTAGTAAGAAACCTAGTCTAAAAATACTTCTACTTCATCTCCTGCTACTATACTGTATGTCTACTAATTCTCAGAGGCAAATATTTTTAGTTACTTACTTATTATAATACAATATTAGCACCAATGAGTCATTTGACTTTCATACATTTACTAAAGTAAACTTTTAAATGCAGGACTTTATATTTACTTATTTGTAACAGAGTATGTAATTCATAACTGCTTTCTATGTAAGAATGTGTAGTTGCTTGTCCACCTTTGTTGCAGCTGTAGACTGTTAGTCATTATCTTAAGGACAACCCTCAGCTATGTCACTGACAACACCTAAATCTCAAAAAGTATTATGAACATTTCCTCAAGTCAATCTGAAGTCAACAAGCCATGTTGGCAAGGGCTAGGCAGTCATATGTCTTACAGTATGATTTACAGACTGCAATAGAAGTATACATGTCGATAAATTGAACTTGTGAGGTAGAGGTTATTTAGTTTACATATTTCCTTTTTTTCCATGTTCTATATTTATGATACATTTGATGATGAATTTGCCATTGAAAGTTCATCAGACAATTCTTAACTCAACATACTAACAACTAGTGGAACATGCAAGCTGCTGTAAAATGAAAAGCTACAGTAAAACTAACCCAAAGTAAACTGCCCCTGATCCTCTTCAGGCCATGCAGTACATGGAGCTCCTCCCGGAGAGTCTTCGTTCCGTCTCGGGGACAGACGGAGCGTTGGAGCGGCGCAGGCAGCTCCTCGGTCAGCTCCCTGCCTACGATCAGGACCCCATGAAGTGTCAGAGCCTCGCCACCGAAGAGGAGGTACATCACTCCAAACACTATTTATTTCTTAAGCTGTATGTAAACTAACCAATATACCTTAAAGGAATACCTTAACCCTAGGGTGATTAGTTTAGATGGTTTAGGATCATTTAAATTGTTATCCTGGCTTCTCTGACTCCTGCAAACTCAAAACACATCATCATCTTGAGGTGATGAAGCTTCATGGAAAACAATAAAAGTGAAGAGGTACCAGCGTTGTACTTGTTGCTTTTGTGCTTATCTGTGCTAGCACGTCTGTCAATGGCATATTTTTCTTTGCTGCAAACGTCCGCAACGCAATGACACAACATGCAAAACATCATGGAAGTCATCCCTTTAGGATGGTTTGCGATGAATCCACGCTCATTCAACCGCAGTTTGACCTACAGCTAACTAGTTTGACCTACAGCTAACTAGTTTGACATGACTCATGAGCTTCATGTGCCACAGTGCCGTGACGCCAAAAAGCACATGGCTAATTTGGTTTATGAACCAATGATTACAACATATGTATTTGACACCCCTTTCAGCTAATGATTTGTAAAAGTATTAGGTGATGAATATTTGCACACAGCTTCTCTTTTTATTTATTTATAAAAAAAAGAAATTAGTTACTAAAAAGGAGAACCAGAAATCAAACATGTTGGTGTAAGGTATTCCTTTACATGAGATCTCTTACTTTCTGATGTCCTCCTGCAGATTTCCGCCATGCTGCTGTTTGTGCAGAGCTACAAGCAGGAGGTGCTGGGAGTCGGCGAGGTGGCTTTACCTGGCGAGGGTGGAGCTCTGAGGGAAGCGTCCAATCAGAGGATGGCAAAGGAGGCCAAGGACCGCAGCAACAGCGACAAGAAGGATGCTCTGAAGCACCAGGACCACGGCTCAACCAACAAAAACATCTCAGATGACGGCTCCACTAACGGAACAGATGGCAGCAAGAAGACTGGATATGTAAGGAACATATCCAAAGTGTATCATTTTCTTCCATCGGTGTCTGCTTATTACTACAATTAGATAAGACAAGGTTTGGTGACATCTTTAAGTAGCTTGGGATCATGGGAGTTGTTGTTTTCAACACCATCATTGCAGTTAGCTTTTTCCCAGTTTAAAGCCCTTCACTGTTTAATGTTAGGATGTTTTGGTTCTGACCTGGAGCTGAATTATGTACATACGTATCCTCCTCTCAAAAACTAATGTACGCAGTGAATAAAACTGGTAAAATCACGTTAAAATCTGTGTTTTTCAATTGCTTTTTTGCAGACAAAGTACAGAGCATTTTGACTTTAATCCTTCATACAGTTAAAATATATTTTAAACTACCAGAATTTAAAAAAGGAGTGGCCTTAGACATGCAAAGGAGATAGGACACGGACCATGATATAACAAAAACCAACAGATTACTCTAGGTTTAAAAGGTGTTGGAAACATTTGGGATAATGTAAGTACACAACTCACAACAACAACAACGACAAAATACTTACATAAGTCTCGCGTTTTTAGAAAAAGCTTCATTTTGTATATTGAATCATATGTTGTTGCAGTAATGTGCTTCACAACCTTCTCTTCTCACAGCAGTGCACAGGTTGCCAAGGTGACGTTACCATGGAGAGTCCGGCTGTTTACGCTGAGCGAGCTGGTTACCATGACGCCCTGTGGCACCCCACCTGCTTTGTGTGTGCGGAGTGTGGCCAGGGGTTGGCAGACCTGGTGTACTTCTGTTCCAATCAGAAGCTGCTCTGCGGACGACACTACTGTGAGACGGTGTGGCCGCGGTGCTCAGGCTGTGATGAGGTGAGACCCTTCACGTACACTTCCTTTCCCCCTACATAGTCAAAGAAAATTAGATTTTGTATCTGGTTAGATACCTCAAATAAGGTCTGTGGTTAACACAAGAGAAGAGATTTTCACATTTTGCCCTACAACATAAAATGTGTCAGTAAATACCCCACTGGTGAATGTCTGAAGCTTTAATGTCATTAAAACGGCGGTTGCTACCAAATGACTAAAAGAGACTGCTAAAACATCATCACACAGACAGTTAGCCGCCTTTAGCTTAGCAGTGGTGATGTAACGTGGTGATGGTAACGTTAGCCATTTACTTCTGGCGCTTGCATTTACGCTTCAAGAATCATAAAAGTGATGTTATTATGTACAGATTATCCTGCTGAACAAAAATTGTTACCATTATAAATGGGTCTTTAACGCTTTTATCCACAACGACTTATAATTGCTATCAACCACGAGGATACAAATACAGAAAAGCAAGAATTATGCAGCTATTAACTATAAACAGTAGTGGCCCGTGAAAATGCTGATGTCATCGTACGCCTGCTAGATGGCCCTAAGGATTGACCAATCACCATAATGTGATTGGTCAATGCAACAGTTACGTTGCCATTTATTTTAAGCTACAAGGCCCGTCCTGTTGATTCTGAAGGCCTCAGGCTGGTTTATTTGACCCTGCAACACATTCTGACTTATATGTGATTGGATAACAGCTCCAACATTACCAACCATTACTGGACGCAGCCAGGGCCGCCCCTGGCCAACTTGTGGCCCCACGCAAAGTTATATGATGAGGCCCTCTGTGTCGCGAGCGTTGACGGGGGGACGGGGGGACGGGGTGCTAGTGGAGCCTCGCAGCGGCAAATCCGTGGCACGCTTAGACTGTAGGTGCGCCGCATTTGCGCTTCAGATGAGGCTTCCTCCGCAAAATGAAGAACCTTCCGCAAGATGAGGCCCCCTCCGCAAGATGAGGCCCCCTCCGCAAGATGAGGCCCCCTCCGCGAGGTGAAGCCCCACGCAGTCTGCGTGATCGTCCTGTAGGGAGGGGCGGCCCTGGACGCAGCGCAACCGCACGAAACACAGAGAAAAGCCATACAATGAAGAGAATAGACTATTGGAAATCATTAAAAACTTGTTAATGAAAAAACGATATTAAAAGATTAGTTAGTGATTCTGACCGTGTTTAATCCAGGAGAGAAGGCCTTGCTTGCCCTGATGGCCCATTAATATACATTTAAACAGGCTATTGGAACAGCTACAGTTATATATACTGCTCATTAGGAGTCTTAACTCTTTTCTCAAAATGAAAAAACATTTTTTTTTTTTTTTTAAATGTATTTGTTCTTATGCCTGGTTCAAACACTGAAGAATTCAACTGTAATCTTGACCTTAACTTTATTCTCCAATTGCAAAATAAACGTATCTGTTTTGTCCTGTTTCTCCTCCCTCAGTTGATCTTCTCTCAGTCTTTTCACACGGGGAAAGATGGAAGAACTTGGCATCATCAGCATTACTGCTGCTGGAAGTGCGGACAAAACCTGGATACACCCTGTCAGCACTGAGACACAGTGTTAACTCAATATGGTGATTTAAAAGATTTAGCACTGCTCAAAAACAGAATTATAGGGTCAAAAGACAGAAAAAAACTAAACTGTAAATATGATTTCGACTGTGGTGGTTTGCCTGTTATATACAAATACATGAAATGAGTAACACAATAATACAGAATTAGTAACGCTTAAAGTCATTACATTTTATTTTCATTTGACAAGTATTTAAAATACTCCAGATGATGTATCAATGTTTAACATACTTAAGATGTCTAGCTGACGTTTAAGCACTCTCAGTCGAGCCTACTGCTTTAAGTACTTAAGGGAATGTTTAGTTGACACAGAAGTGTTTAAAGTACTTACTGGTGGATTTATTATAGCACTTCAAGAACTGACAGTGACTGGAGCCAGATGGTTTTAGATAAAAACAGAAGCAGAAGCAGATTTGTGTGTCATTTTAGGAATGATCCAATTATTTGACTTAAAACTTAGGGAACTGGACAGGCAGAAGGCAGAGAAATTAACAGAACTGTGCTGGACTGTTTTTATTTGTGTTTATCAGTGTAGATTTTGACCCTTTGTTTGTACAAATAGGAAGTATGGATTTTACTTTTAATTTGCTATTTTATTCATTTTCCTCTCTTTTTTTTGACGTGTTGTTTTAGTCAAGCTTAAGATTCACTTATTATTTTGAGTGAGGTTTTGTATCTCTCATCACTAAACAAGGTTTTGTTTCTGTGAGGTTCACCAAGTATTTTGTTTTCAAAGTTAGAATTCAAAACTAAAAGTCATACAGCATCTAACCTAATATAATAAATACATTTGCTTAGTTTTTATCCTTCAAAAACGTTTTTAAAGCAAAATGCCAATTTTTTAGAAACAAGGAAAATATTGTAGCTAGTAGTGTTACTAGATAAATATGTTGCATATAGAAAAAAATACTGTTGAATACAATGTACAATGAAAATAAAGAATAGATGCAGATTCTTATGGGAACAGCATTTTCAGGTGACAGGGTTGCAAGATGATGCAGTGAAATATAACAAGGAATTTCATATTTAAAGTTTTAATTGTGTGTGTCAGTTTGAAATGTTTAGCCTAGTTTAGCACAAAGACTGGAAGTGTGAGCCTAGCTCGGTAAATTATGAAATAATACAAGTTTTATATGAACACGAAATGAGCTGTTAAACTTTGTCGGGGTAAAATGACAATCAAGGATTTCTATAAGTTTGTGAACAAAAAATCTGTTTTTCTGAAAAGATAAAATAAGGAATTCCCAGATAAATTATGAACGGTGCTGTTAATATAAATTACAGCATTACAAAATTACACTTATAACTGAATTTCACAGTAAAACTGTGAAAAATATGAATTAAATGTTACTGTATTAAAGAGGCCCTATTATACTTTTTTGGTTTCCCTTTCCTGTAGTGTGTTATATAGGTTTGTTGCATGTAAATCGTCTGCAAAGGCTACAATCCCAAAGTTGCCTCCAGGGTGTTACCAATCAGAGCAGACTGGGTGAAAATAGGTGCAGCAGCACAGGCAGTATGAGAACAATAAAGAGCTTTTTGAACATTAAAGCATTGAAACATGTCACAGTAGAGACACTAAATACAATTATGAACATGAAAATGAGCAGAATAGGTCCTCTTTAAATCAGAAGTGATTCTGTTCATGAAATAATTAAATGTCTTCACCCGTAGGGATTAAAGATAATCTCACACCAGGTTATAGTTGCATGGCGTGTTTTGTTTAAAGAGAGAAGAGAAAATGAAGAGATTTTTGCGTATGATCATGTTTTGACAGCTGAATAAAAGCCATTTCTGATTGAACTTCCTGTTATCTGTTACCATTTTTGAAATAGAGTTGAATCTGGAAATCACTAGTTCATGTTGAATGTATTCAGGCGACCCAAACCTGAAGCAGAGCTCTTTTTTAAAGTTTTACAAAGAGTGTGTGTGTGTGTGTGTGTGTGTGTGTGTGTGTGTGTGTGTGTGTGTGTGTGTGTGTGTGTGTGTGTGTGTGTGTGTGTGTGTGTGTGTGTGTGTGTGTGTGTGTGTGTGTGTGTGTGTGTGTGTGTGTGTGCGTGCGTGCGGGTGTGGGTGTGTGTGTGTGTGTGTGTGTGGTGTGTGTAGCAGGTATGTGAAGTATTTCTTGTTTCCCGGCCAGCGTTCCGCTGTAGTTACATCACCCGGCGGACCGTCTGACGGCACTTCTTGAACCATGAATAAAAATCCAGAAAAGGATATTTTGAGTCCCACTATTTGGTCTGCAGAGTCTTATGGCCTTTAATAGCACCCAGCGTCATCAGAGGATATGCAAGACTGAGATCATTTCCTCTGCTTCTATAACCAAGCAGACTTCATTACCTAATCATATTACATATGGTTAATCATGTTATATACATACTCAATTGACATACACCTGCTGATTGTGTTTTATTGCTATGCTTGTTTTAGTTTTAAAGATCCTACATATTGTTATTTCATGTTTAATTTTCTATTTATTTCTGAATTTTTCTATCCTTGAGCCCTGGTGACAAATAACTGTGGCCTCTGAGAACCAATAAAAGTGTCTCAACACTTTGATAATGTTTGTAATGTTCATCTGTTTATTGTTAGACTATAAACAATTTGACAAAGGTAATGAAATATTCGGATATGTTACCAGTTAAAATAGTGATACCACAGTTTAGAAATACTAAACAACTATAAAAGTCCTGAACTTAACTTAACGTAAGAAATATTACAAATCTAATCAAAGTATCAAAAGCACTTATCATGCAGAATTACATAATAAAAATCATATTATTTGACAATGAATCTTGATGCATTTACGTTACTTTAAAGGTGGGGTAGGTAAGTTTGAGAAACCGGCTCGAGATACACTTTTTGTTATATTCCATGGAATGCTCTTAACATCCCGATAGCAATGAATATCTTAAGTGCTTTGACAAAAAATCCATAAAAAAATGTCATCTGTGGAAGCCGTAATACTGTAAAAAGTACAACCAATCATTTTAGCCGGGCCGGCTAATGATTGGATGGCCTACCTGCCTGTCAGCTTTCCATCTGTGCACAAACTTATCTCGTGCCCTCATTGGTCATGTGCACGTTCGTGTGTGTTGGAGGAGGGGCTCTGTAAGGAAGTGGCAGATTTGTTCCGGCTGTGTATTTTCAAATTCTAGCGCACTCGAGCTGGGCTGCAGTCGAATAGTCCATTTAGCTTAGGAACCTTCCTAACCGAGTGAAATGACCCGGAAGTCCCTCAGTGGCAGCCATGATAAGTGCCGTTCGAATTCTCTAGATGATAGGAAAGGAGGTTTCAAACTTCCTTTATAACCTCCTTTAGCTTAGGAACCACTGGACCTCCCTCGCCGAAAGGAGAGGAGAAAATGCTGCCCCACAATGCCTTGCAGCCGCAGTATTTTTGCAGTCGGAGGTTGCGGTCGAATAATCAAAAAATCAGCTCCTAAATTCTAACCCTATCGTCTATTCCTTGACTTCTGAGTGAAACGTCATGGGGTTAAGGGATAGTGGATAGGAGAATTCAAAAGGATTTAGGAGAAGAGACTGCGGTACTTTAGAGAATCCGACTGCACTTTCACTATCCGACGTGTTTATGATGCGCCAGCAGACGTCATAAATGTGCGTCTGCTGCTGTGGGAAAACTATGGAAACTACAGTTTTCTATACAGCGGACTACAACATGGATGTATAATAATAACGACGGACAACTGTAAACTCATCTAGAGACTCTACACCGTGCTCTGATGCTGTTGTTTTATGCTTTATGAACGGGGACAACAGAGAAACATATTCTTCATGTTGAGGTTGTATTGCACCTGGTCTCCTTTCCAGGATGTTTTCAAGTTAAATTATAGTTCACATTTTCTGTGGCTGTACTTAATTTAGAATTTGAAGTTAAAACGATGCAACAAAAGTTCTATGAAAAATTTGACAAGATGCCCAGGTCCCCCCCTAAATGTTATTATTTCATTCCGCTGGATGTTTCAGCAAGAACTGAAGCTTCAACTTTCAAATGTAAATGTGAAGCAGACCTCGAGTCGGAGCCCTCATGTTGAGGCACTCAGTCATTTTTACTTCACTACAATTTCGGGGGAAATATTGTCATTTTTACACCACTGAATTTATTTGACAGCTTTGAAGATTCTAATTAATAATATAAAATAAAACCAACAAATTCTATTTTATGTTTTATTATACATTAAAGGGCCCATGTCATGGCCATTTCCACTGATCATAATTACATTGTTGAGGTATACTAAAATAGATTTATACTGTGCAATTTTCCAAACTCACATTGGTTTCGCATACAGCATCTCTGTCAAGCATGTGTATTCAGCAGTATTCACTTTCTCCACTAAACGACTCGTTGGAGCTCTTGCCCCCCCCTCCCTGTGAGCCTAGTGTGCTCCGATTGGTCAGCTCGGCCACTCGTTCTGATTAGTCAACCACCAGAGAGGCTGCGCCCATGTCAGTGCTTTTCCCGGCTGCTCTCAGCGTAACATCAGTCTTATCATGGCGTCGGTACAGCGGTATATTTTATATACATATATATTTTTAACTGTTGTTATAGAAGAGTGTGACGGCCCCAGGGCCTTTGTCTTACGATGGGGTGGAGCTGAAGAGGCTAATCAGCACGATCACGGACACCTCCGGACACAGTCTCTCTCCAAAGCGTCTGCAGGAAGACTAACTCTGCGATCCTCTCAACCACCTCTCTCTGCATTTACCACAATAAATGTGCCGTGGTTTTGTAAACTCGTGTATGTCTCCTTGTCTTTCCGTTGTGGCCTACGAGCTACTCTCATAACAAAGAGTAAGTTATTTTTACCCGTTATAAACTACTACTGTTTGATGAGAAATCAAATCATGGTTTGCTATATATGAATTCAGGGAAGAAAGGATAGGCCTACTAAGTATTTCCATTAAACTTTATTTTTAGAAATGTACAAAATGAACATAAATATACATATATACACGGTATATCATTCATTCCTCCTCCTCGCATCTTGCCCGTGCACAGTCGGTGCGGTGCCTTTTAGCACGAGCCCTCAGTAGTAGTCGAAGTCCCTTCCCCGTCATGGATTGTCCGCCAGGATCTGGCTGGACGAAATCAAATGCAAATCACAAAATATTAGAGAAACTTAGTTGTTTTAGATTCGTTAGTAGTAGTTGTGTAATGAACAGCTTGCCTGCTAATATGCTAACCTAGCTTTGTTTACCTTGGTAGCTAACACGATATGAACGTTAGCTTGGAGGAAAGGCAACTATAATGCAGTGTAATAAAACTACTATGAACAAAAGCTAGTGGTTCATATTAGGCTAGCAATAACGTGTTTATAATTGCAATCGTATACGGGTATTCTGCTACCATACAATGTAACTTGCATGAATACATTGTTTTGCGCTAGCATACAGCTAGCCTCGTTAGCTACATGCAGTATATGTACGGTCACAATGTACGGTAAATCACAGTACAGTATACTGTATGAGTATTCCGTGTGTGTGACTGCAGACATTCTCCTGCCATGACAAACATGTAAGGCCATCTGCTGACATTGTAGTTGATATATTTAAACGCTAGCAACGTAGCATCACAAAAATGTTTTTCCGACCAAAACTAGCTCTAGCTCCGTGTGTTAGATCGCTACGCCAGCTATAATGTAATTAAGTTTCGCGACTGACCGGCAAATCACCCGGAATATACTGTCAATAGGTATTTTGTGTGTGAATGCAGACATTCTCCTGCTATGAGATACATGTATGCAAGGCCATCTGCTGATATTAGAGTTGATATATGGAAACTCTAGCAACTTAGTTAGCACAGTTAGCACTGTGTCAATGGCTTAGCAGTCCAACACAGTTTACACATTTAAACAGTCTTGTTTGATAAATACACAAATAACAATGCAAACTTACAGGTTGTATACCCAGATCTTCCCCTGCTCCAAACGGTCCAAACAAGCTGTGCATATCCGGCCTCAAACTGGGCAATGTTTTGGAAGCTTTCGTCTGTGAAATGCCGGTTCTTCGAACCTCTGGAGGAGGAACACGCCGCTGCTGGTGTGGCCATAGCTCTTCGGGATTGGTCCATTTCGTTCCGGGTACCGCATGACATCAGGCGGTACCCGGAACTAAATGGAAGACTCAAATGGGCAGTGACGTATCTCCAACGAGGCGTTTTGGGGAGGTATTTTCTGTGTTAGAGTTTTACTCGCTACAGGGTGTACTTTGAGGGTTTTGACTCTGCACACCGTTTACATGCATAAAAACCTTCATAACACACAAGGGGACGGGTAATAACCGGAAAAGCATGACATGGGAGCTTTAAGATAACGTTATGGATCCATTGGAAAAATTCACAAGCTACCCAGCAGTATTGTAATACCTGTTAAAAAGTAAAACACATGCTCCAACGATAAAGTGATGAACACATCAAAACATAAATTATTAAAATTGATATATATAATAATAATACTATATATTTATATATGTGTTGTTCAAATACTATAAATACAAACAGAGAAATGGGTACGCTTTTATAAAGTTTAAAGTTTATACTTTTATAAATGAAGAATATCCAGTTAAAATGGTTAAAATGCAACAGTTGTTCCATGTTAAACAGGTATAATTTAGATGTGTGATATTTCCGACGGTGCCTAAACGCAGCACAGGACTTTCCCTTTAAGTGAGATGATAGGTTGTTGTGTAATGTGGGTGAAAGAGGAGGAGGAGGAGTGCATGGAGGACTTCAGGCGGTGACAGAGCGAAGAGGACTCGGACAGGTACAGTACGGTGCTACTTCCCCTCAGGTGGTATAAACATGCTGTATGATATTAATGTTTCATATGCAGACGCTGGCTGTGTTATTCCTAGTGTTGGTTGAACCTGCATGCTGTGAACCTGTTTGAAATGTGAGGTTTTCAAAAGACACTCATAACCAGGAGACCTGTCAGTTCAAATGTAATATTTGTTGCGGCTTTTCAAAAAGACAATTCATTTCCCCTACCGTCAAACCTTATGTATAAAATATGGAAATATGTATTTTGAAACTTAAAGGAAACCAGCGTTGTTAAAGGGAAGTTCGGTCTTCCGCTACTTTACTGTACACCGCCAGGAAAAAATAACTTTAAATACCGCCGTCTGAGTTCATTTTCAAGTTGAATAAGCAATACAGTAAAACAATCAAAGCAATATATAGGTCAGTATGAATACAACGTGAATAATGCCAGGTTAACATAAAAAAATCCTTTTGGTAAAATCATGAAATTATGAGCAGTCTCTAACAACTATTAAGCTCTTCTCTTTTTGAGATCTAATCTATTCATGCAAGGTTCTCATTTACTAAAGACCAACCTTTTTAGTTTTTTGCTCGTGTTATTGTCTAAATATACATGTCCAGTGTTTTCTTAAAACAAAAAATGGTGATTTCATTTGATTTTTTTTCTAAATGCACAGAGAAGAAACTGCTTCTCGTCTGATTGCATTTAAGCTAATTGTTATCACTTTATAAGAATTCATTTTAGAGTTGATCAAAATGGTGTATACCGTAAGAATGTCACAACATTTGATGTGATAACAACATAGCAAAGAAACCGTAGGGTTTAGTATTGGTGCTTTCACAAAATATTTACCCAATGAGATTTTTGATAAATAAGTATCAGTAATGTGATTTAATGATAAAGTGGGTACAGACAAAAAAATAACAATTGTAAAATGACATCTCCCTTCTGTTTGCAGCCTTTAGAAATCAGAAAAAGACAACAAATATGCCATATTATAGTATTTGGAGATCAAAAATCTAAACGATATCCTGTTTCATATCATATATTGATAGGCTACAATGTAGATATATTGACCAGCCCTTTCTTTAATGGTGTATAACACACACTGGTCAATGTTTATAGAGACAGATTTATGACTTATGAGAGCCAAAATTATAACTTACTGGGTTTACTGAACTCAAATGCTTGTATTGATGATGATGTATTTGTGTGTGTTTTATTTTGAAAGGGTGTGCAGCCATGGAGATGATAATGATATCAGGATGTATTCTGGTTCTCCCAGTCTTCGCGTTCATCTACTCCTTCATGTTCTGGCCTGGATCCCTCCTTAAAGCTTACAACTGGTAAACACACTCACACACACTGGTTAGACTGGTCATTGGTGTAGAGTCTGTTGATTGTTATGTTATGTAACTGCCTAGGGACTGCAGATGGAAATGAGCTAACAGTTAAATCTGACATAACTAAAAAGGTAAATAAGAACATTTACTCATAAAAAAACAGGATACAATTTAGACATAATGCATCACTAAAGATTAAACCAGTGGAATAACTATTTGAGGTAAAACAAAACGGTAAAGTTATCCAATATAAAAAGTTAAGAAAAGAAAATCATAAACATGAATCAAGAGAACTTTGTCTACAACAGTTAAATATTGCTCTGCAACAACATTAATTATTACAAAATAATGTTATATTTATATAATAATTAGGGCTGTCAAGTTAACGCGTTAATAACGCGTTAACGCAAAAAAAGATTAACGCCACTAATTATTTTAACGCGATTAACGCATGTGTATTTTTTGTCCTCGGCCGCCGTAGTTTCAGAGCGCATCGAGTGTAAAATACCATCTACAAGCTGATGCTGACAGCCCCGCTCCTGCCGCCCGCTTGTGGCAGACCACACTTCCACGCTCACTGGCAGGCCCGGACTGGCCATCGGGAGAACCGGGAGGGAGTGTGTATGTGTGGCGCGACTCGCGCGAGCGAGGCACACCTTACGTGTTGTTGTTGTTAGCATCTGGTGCTAGCTAGCTGCGCTAACGGATATAAGGAGCTGTTTCAATGACATTTCGCCGACAACTGCGCCGAGCACTTGACTTGATGCAGCTCGCCAGACAGTGGGACATTGTACGAAAAGTCAGCACACTCAGCACGGATAGTACGCGCAACATGATTGCAGCGTCCAGGCAGCTCCCATTCGAGCATATATGCCTTGAGCTGCACATAGCTCCAACGATCATCCACAGTGTCTCTCTCCACACACACACACACACACACACACACACACACACACACACACACACACACACACACACACACACACACACACACACACACACACACACACACACACACACACACACACACACACACACACACACACACACACAGTATTATTGTATGAGAGAGGTTCCAGGTTGAATTGAGGCGAATATTTGTAATGTTCAGGTTGTTGTGTTTAATATTCATGAGGATATTTGTCATTGTTCAAATGATAATAAACAAACATAAAGCATATTTGTCCACTCGTATGTTGATAAGAGTATTAAAAACTTGAAAGATATCCCTCTAAGGTACATTTAGAACAGATAAAAAATGTGCGATTAATTTGCGATTAATCGCGATTAACTATGGACAATCATGCGATTAATCGCGATTAAATATTTTAATCGACTGACAGCCCTAATAATAATATATTCACATGGTGGCGATTTTTTGTTGTTGCAGAATAAGTCCTTTTACTTGTGATACTATGATCACATGTTGCTGATAATTGTGTACTTATTATATTACCCCAGTGTTTTCAACCATTTCGAAACCTAGGGAAAGCCACACTTATAATCAAAGGAGCCATTTGTTACATTTGGTTGTCTCTAGTGGCAACATATTTTCACGCGTTGTGGTTTTTGTCATAAATTTACTTTTTACACGGTGGTGAGACACAGTCCAGCAATTAGGTCTTGGTTGTTGGATTTTTTCATTAGACATCTAACTTAAAGGGGACCTATCATGCAAAATGCACTTTTGTACGTCTTTTATACATGAATATGTGTCCCCGGTGTTCCAGGGAACTCACCAAGTGTCAGAAAACACAACCCTCTCTATTTTCCTCCATACCCAAATCTCTAAAAAAGGGGCTGCAACGGATCTGATAAAAACTGATCCAGATTTGAACACTGTCCTGACGTCAGGACGGTGGCGCTACGGCTATTGGGCCAACTCCACCAATCAGGAGGAGACAGCCACGGCCATTGCCGTTCGAAAGCGCTGGAGACGCTGTAGTACATATGCCAGGCCTGTAAGTGGCGCTGTAGTCTGCCACAAAAGCAGTGAAGAAGACTTGGTTACCATGGTTACCCTTCTGTTTATTCTCCGCTGTGGCTTTCTTTCTCCCTCCCCGAGGCAAGCGTTTGCTCCCGCTGCAATGCAATCCCTCCCCGTCGAGGCAAGCACTGTAATTCTCTCCGGTTAGTCCACCAGCAGATGACAAACACCCACCTCTCCGCCTCTTCCAAGGAACGAGGGGACCGTGCGGCAGAGTTTCAGTTTCAGTTTGTTTCGCCGGTCAAGATGTCCGTTAAAGTTTAAATCTTCCGGACGAAATTAGAAAAGTGCCGGTCAAAGGTCTTCTTTGTTATTTATTGAGCTTTAAAACAAATGAATAACGACTCTATATAATAAAACACGGAGATCTCCCCCTCTTCTGACAGCCCAGCAGCTGATCAGAGCACGGCTCACCTCTCCTGCAGGGGGGCGTGGTCAGCAGAATCAGACCCATAGACAGCAAACAACACATAGAGCGAAATGAGGCATGGCTAAAATGCATGATCTGTTTGGTATTTTGAAAACAGAAACGTATAAATATACCTTATATAGGTATGGCCCTACAATATATCATTTAAATATAGCATGATAGGTTTCCTTTAAGTTGTCAAAGAAAAAAAGCGGAGCTAATGTTGCAGCCAAACACAGTTGGAGCAAAAAACAACAAGATGAAACTGCTTCATTCCGTATTTTTACAGGTTTTAATCAGGGGTCCTTCCAAGATCTGATAGTAACCTGAGGATTTGTACATTTTTCCAAAACCAGCACCTCTGTGTTCAAGGGTTGCATCATTGGACGCATTATGTTTAAAGGACGACCATCCCATTCTTGTGAACATAATATCTCAGGATTGCCTTCAGGGTATTATTCACATACATCCTCTTGGACTCAAGGACAAACTGATTAGATGTTGGTAGTGAAACGTCAAATGGCAAGGTCACTGTAACATCATAATGTTATTTAGATATAACATCTGAATCAGAAATCATTCATTTGTCCAATAGCGGGGAGGTTGACATTGTTACAGCAATGGGGCAGGGCAAACAAAAAGCAAGTACAATTTATAAAATGAAATAAGTAAACAACCATGGTTAAAAGTAGCCAGTAACAACATAATACATATTTGTAAAGTATATATTGCATATAGCAGTGTTGTTACAGTAAAGTTCATTTTCTATTGTTTTTTTTTCCATTTATTTTATTATATATACATATATATATATATATATCATTTTTTTATATTATTTGTTTTTGTATTTTTCTTCGGGTAAAGAATTTCAATTTGAATGTCTATAACTCAAAGTTCATTTGTTATCAACACATCAGAGCTACAGTATGTGTAAGCATAGGTCAACCACATCTCATCCCGAGGGTAAACGTTTTCTTTCCTTCCTTGCTCAGAGGAGTTTCCAAAATCACCCCAAAGATACAAATTAAAACTTGAATGTTTGTGAATGTACTCTCAAACTTTCAAAATAGTTTCTAAGAAAAGACAGTCTGTTCCTCACTGGGATCCTTCTCATCAACATAGTGACAACACACGCAATAACAATTTACATAAAATATATTAAAATACCTAATATAATAATATATTTTTAAGTTAATATTAACATTTCCCATTTCCAACATAATGGATTTTATATTTAAATAAATAACAATAAGTAAAAAATATTATAATAGGCAAGGCAAGGCAAGTTTATCTATACAGCGGCTTTCAACACAAGGCAATTCAAAGTGCTTTACAAAAATGAAAGACATTAAGAAAATGGCATTTAAATTAAAAGAAAAAATACATGGATAAAAGTTACAGTGCAGTTTAAGATATGAATAGTTCAATTAAAAGCAGCGGCAAAAAGAAAAGTCTTCAGCCACTAGAGTGAATCTGTCCGGATGAAGCCTAAAGAGCAGATATGTTGGTGTGCCTTGGCCTAACGGACTTTGTCAAAGCTGTAAAAAAGGAAACAAAATACTTGTTGGTCGGATTGGCAGTGCTCTTTCACCCAGTTACACACACACACACACACACACACACACACACACACACACACACACACACACACACACACACACACACACACACACACACACACACACACCCACACCCACACCCACACCCACACCCACACCCACACCCACACACACACACACACACACACACACACAGTGCTGAGTCACAGTGATGTAATAGGGGTTTTTGTGACGTGAATAAAATGCTCGGTTACAGAAAACTGTAACATTAAATCAAATGTAATCAGGCTTTAAATTATGTAATCACAATTTGACTAACAGGAAAAACAAAAGATGATACAGGAGAAGTTTAGATTTCCTCAGAGATACTAGGTACTTGTGCATTTATTTATTTATTTCCTTCTCTTTCTTTCTTTCTGTCTTAACTTTTTCTAAACTCTTTGTATTTCATGTGTTCCCCCGTCACTCGTTTTCATGTGTTTTATGAGTGATAATGTAGTTTGCTTTTTAGCTTGTGTCTTGTCCTGTGTTGCTGTTGTTTTCATGCTACATCAGCAGAACTAATCCCCCCTCAGGGACAAATTAAGAACTTGAACTTTGAGTTGCTGTTTACTGCTAGGTCTCTAGCTAGAGGGGCAGATTCAGATGACAGATAATCACTGCCTGTGATCCTCCTCAGGTACATGCGCCGCAGGCTGGGGCTGGTGATCCGGTACTGTAAGAGCGGAAGTTACCGCTTCTGTTACAGCAGCCGCGGGACGCCGGGGGGGGCCACGCCGTCCCTGCTGCTGTTGCACGGCTTCTCCGCCTCCAAGGACATGTGGCTGCCCATCGTCAAGGTATCATACACACATACAGGGACACAGTTCTTCTCTTGCACACACAATAAAAAGGGATCTATTGGCAGAAATGTAATATGACAAACATAACATGCTTTCATGAATGTTTTTGTAATTTGAGTCACTTGGACATAAGCTACTGCCCCCTTTTTTCGGCGGCAGTAGCTCTGTCTATGGGGACTAGGCTCGGTAAATCCGGAAACCTTAACACCCATAAAAAAAACTCAGATTAACCACATAGCCTAGTTTTACCCCCACTTCCTCCAGTAATTCCAGCACAGATTTGTACAATGAATTGTATTGCAGTTAAAAGGCAAAGAAAGCAAATGGCACAAACTACATGTATGGCACGACTGGAGACCACTAGACATCAGTAAGAACCCACACTCCCCCGCTGTAACGGCACACCTGATCCATGACTAATGTTCTGCACTTGTTTGCTTTAGGTGTGGTGAAAACAGGGGAAAGGCATTTTGCTAAAGCATGTGTCAGTTTGTTGAAATGGTTTAGTATAGAAGTGATAGTGGACAGTCACCACTGTAGGAGCAGATGGAGCGAGCACACATTATACAGAGGGCACTCACAGAGGCTCTCCGTAACAGCGGCTTTGTAGACGCTTTAGCTACGTTTTGGAAAATGGTCAGACTTCATGCTAATAATAAAAAAATCTGAAATGTTAAAAATAAAGTAAAAATGTCCCCCAATGTCTTTTACCAGTTTGTCATGCATGACATTATTACACAATGTCTCCACTTGTTTACTTGTATTTTGGGGGGGAGTTAAAACAAATACACGTAATCATGATTAATCACAGATTGTTTGTGTGATAAATGCAATTACATGTTTGAATCGATTGAAATGGGTTTCCCGCGCAGAAGAAAAACCATCTGTTCTCCATGTAAACCCATAAGCATTTATAACGCTGGCCTGGAGGCTAACTCTTCTTCACAGGACGTCAGAGAAACTTACCACGTTCACACTTGGTCAAAGAAGTTCTCTATCTGATTCATGTTAGAGAAGCAGAGATATAAAGAGCATAGCTCCCGGGATAGATATTTATAACCTGGGAATAATCTAATCAAATGATGCATAATGTTTTCCTGATCTTAGTGTTTTAAACACTGCTAAACAATTTAGGAATTGTCTATACGTAATTAATTCAATTTTTTGTATCTTATTTTTACATATTTGATCAATGTTTTGTCCCGTGTGCGTCTTGTTTCTGCACTCTATATTTCATTATATATAAAGTATTATCTTTTCATTTATTTTATAATTGGGTGCGTGTGTGTTCTCTTCCAGCATCTCCCCAGAGGCCTGCATGTGGTGTGTGTGGACATGCCCGGACACGAGGGGACAACTCGCACCGGGGCCCAGGATTACTGCATTCAAGGCCAGGTCGCCAGAATCCACCAGGTGTGTGTGTGTGTGTGTGTGTGTGTGTGTGTGTGTGTGTGTGTGTGTGTGTGTGTGTGTGTGTGTGTGTGTGTGTGTGTGTGGTGTGTGTGTGTGTGTGTGTGTGTGTGTGTGTGTGTGTGTGTGTGTGTGTGTGTGTGTGTGTGTGTGTGTGTGTGTGTGTGTGTGTGTGTGTGTGTGTGTGTGTGTGTGTGTGTGTGTGTGTGTGTGTGGTGAAGATGATTTACGGGAAGTAAAAATAGAATGAGACGTATAGATAGATATCCCTAGTTTGTGCGCCGTAGCTGGAGTCAGGACATACTGTTGTTAGCTTAGCATAACAACTAGAAGATTGGGAACACAGCTAGCCTGGCTCTGTTAAAAAGATACACCTATCAACACTAAAAGTCACTAATAATCAGATGTGGTCTTCCACGTGGTGTTTCCCCATGCTATACTTGTTCATTTGGCTCTTCCTCTTGGATATGTGCTTGCAATCTGGCATCTGATCACAACGTTTTTAAATAGTTTAATGCCCAAAAATGTCCTAAACAAAGCAAAATGGACTACAGGGAATAATAGCTCTTCAAATGGCTTTATAGAATCTTAATCTGTAATAGAAAATACATTATAGTCCATATATTTGTCTTCTAAATTGCACTTTTTACACATGTAAAGTGGCACATTTCTATTGCATTAAAAGAGAAGACAATTAATGATAAGGTATTCTTCTTTATTACTGTTTTCATCCACTGCACACCTGGGCCCACTCTCTGTATTCAGCTGTAGAGGCTGCACAGAGGCACTGAGCAGATAGTGATCCCCTCTGTCTTTGTGTCTCTCCCTGTGCAGTTTGTGAAGAGTATTGGTTTGGACAAAAGACCCTTCCACCTGGTGGGGACGTCGATGGGGGGGAACGTCGCTGGAGTGTACGCTGCCCATCACCCTGCTCACCTGTCCGGCGTCACCCTGATGTGTCCGGCAGGTAAACTCAGCACACATCTGATCTATGTGATTTCTCCAGGATTCAAACCCCATACTGATCGGTGTATGTGAGTGACAGAAGCTCTCCTCCTCTCTGTCCTGCAGGTCTGGTTTTTCCCACAGAGTCTGAGTTCATCGTTCGCCTGAGGGAGATGGAGAAGACTCCGCAGCAGGGGTCCATCCCTCTGATCCCCACTACTACTCAGGAGCTGGAGTCCATGTTGAAGCTCTGCTGCTTCACCCCCATCAGCCTCCCCAAGCAGGTACAGAGACAGCCGTGGTACTAGGGCCTCAGTCCAGATGTGCACAACAACAGTTTCTATATATCTCTGCAGCTACTATTAGTATACTCTACAACTATTACTATTGCTGCTGCAGTATAAAGTGTAAACCAAGAAAGAAAAAGAAGATTGGATTTGAAAGTGTGTTTTGAAAAGTAAACTCTGTGGCAACAAAAGTTGATGATTCTGGCAAATCTTCTTTATCAAGACTTTTATGAAAACCTAACTTGAGGCTGATTGTAATTTGATTTTGCAAGCTTAACTCCTCTACAAAAGCCTTTCATCTTTGTGTGACACATCTACAAGCTGGACAGTTTCAGTAAGAAATGTTTTCAAGAGCTCAGGTCTGAAGGGGCCTATTCTGCAGTTCCTCTACTGTGGCATGTTTCCATGCTTTGATCCTTATTGTTCTCATACTGCCTGTGCTGCAGCACCTCTTTTCACCCTCTGTCTGAAACCAGAGCCCAGTCTGCTCTACGTCTTAGAGATGTCCCGCCCCTTAGTTTATTTAGGAAAATGTGTTGGAATGCTAGCCTATGGAAGTGTCCTCATTATGTTACAGAAGTAAACAAAGGAGTCCAATGGAGGCGTTTCAGGCAGGGGGGGAGTGTGTGTGAGAGAAAGTCCCTCTGGAGGGAACACAGGGATTTGAGCCGTTGCAGACCATTTACATGCACCCAAACCTCTAGAACACTACAGGGAAGGGACAACCCCCAAAAGCATAATAGGGCCCCTTTAAACACAAAAGGGCTGTTAAGTAGAGGAGTCTCTGTCTTCAGCTTTGCGACAGACTTTTCATTTTTTGGTTGCAAACATGCTTTTTCATATCTGGCGTAAAGGAATCATTAGTACAGTGCACTGTGTACCCATTGATGTGTGTGTGTGTTTTAACAGCTCCTGCGAGGTCTCCTTGACAACAGGTTGCCCAACAATGATTTCTACAAAGAAGGTCAGTCTGCTCCTCTCTGAACTCCTTCTCTCCTCCTCCACTAAGCAGTGCACGTTTGAAAAGAGTCCTCAAAAGAGCCTTATTCCAACATAGGAAATGCTTAATTCCCTTCTTTTTGCATTAAAACTACACATATTTGTTTCTGATCTGCTTGTGCAAATTCTGAATACCGTGCTTCTTCCCATTTATTGCTGGTCAAATGAACCATAACACTTCCTGCAAAGGTTGTTTCACATTAAAAGCAGCTCTAGAAAAGAATCCTTCCCATCTCCATGGGGATCCAAATAAAGATCCAAGTTTGGAGTTTTATTGACAACATTTTTTAATTTAATTCCCAGGATTATTTGATGTCTTTAATTATTGTTGTTTCATGTGTTTTTGTAATTTGCTCCTTTTTAATAATTGTGTGTGTGTGTGTGTGTGTGTGTGTGTGTGTGTGTGTGTGTGTGTGTGTGTGTGTGTGTGTGTGTGTGTGTGTGTGTGTGTGTGTGTGTGTGTGTGTGTGTGTGTGTGTGTGTGTGTGTGTGTGTGTGTGTGTGTGTGTGTGTGTGTGTGTGTGTGTGTGTGTGTGTGTGTGTGTGTGTGTGTGTGTGTGTGTGTGTGTGTGTGTGTGTGTGTGTGTGTGTGTGTGTGTGTGTGTGTGTGTGTGTGTGTGTGTGTGTGTGTGTGTGTGTGTGTGTGTGTGTGTGTGTGTGTGTGTGTGTGTGTGTGGTTCAGTGTTCATGGAGATCGTCGGGGAGAAGTCTCGTCACTCGCTGCAGGAAAGCTTGCACCTGATCACATCCCCGGTGCAGGTGATCTGGGGGAAGGAGGATCAGGTACACATGAATCATTTGGAGCCTCGGACTCACCGACTGATCTTAAACCGCTCCTCACTGCCTCTCCATGTGTCCTGTTTTATATGATTTTATTCAACTCTTGGCCCTACATATTTGATCTCTTATGTGTTCTCCTTTAAGCGGTCTATGTTTCTTTGATCTAAAGCGCTCTAATAGAGTTAGCTGTGTTTTTAAGTTTATTTATATATCACTCTGGGTGGCGATAGCTCAGGGACTTGGCGCAGGAACCAGTGGGTCTCTGGTTCAAGTCCCAGAACGGACCAAGGACAGAGAATCTGGTACTTTGCAGGGCACTAGCGGCCCACTGCTCTTTTCCATATGCAAAATATCTACACAGTAGTAGATGGCAATGAAAATGTTAAGGCTCGTCCAACAATGCAACAAACAACTGACTTGAGGTCAGGTGAGGGGTGTCCGGCACACATTTCCAAAAAGCATGTGCTGAGATGTTTAGTTAAACAAAACAAAACAAATGTAAACATCAACTTGACTTTCCAGAAATGTAAATCATAATCCAAATACAACGTCAACTGAATTTGTGATCTAATGTCTAATGATGTGATCGGAGATGAGTTTTTTCTCCGGCATGCAAGCAAACAAAAGCACTCCCTTGTCTATATAAAGCCCATACTGTATATCCGCAGTTCCATTATGAAAACATGATTATAAAAAATGGAATTACAAAAAGTAGATTTCCAGTTATAAATTATCAGACTTTTTAGAATCAAAATACTTTATTTATTAATTCATTTGTTTTCATTAAGATATTTGGTAATTAGTTATTTTATTTATTTATCCCTGGGAAAATTGTGTTTCGTGACAGTTGCTTTTCCTCCAGGTGGTGGACGTGTCGGGGGCAGCGGTGCTGCAGGCGGCGCTGCCAAACTGTCGGGTGGAGTTGATAGAAAACTGTGGTCACTCTGTGGCGTTGGAGCGGCCCAGGAAATCTGCCAATCTCGTCATGGACTTCCTGTCTAAGAAGGAAGTCAATGGTGGAAACGCTAAGAAACTTTCCTGAAGCAAACTTTATAACCCTATGACTTCAGAATGGACGATGAAGGCTGTGAATTTGGTTTGATGCTCTTTTGTAGTTTGGTATAAGAGTTTGGCTATGACAGAGTTTATATCTGTAACATTTTAATATTCCAAATATTCCTGACGTTTTTAGACACGCAGCACCAAGCAGGAAGCTGTAGTCTCTATTTTAGATAAGTGTTGAAAGAAAACATTCTGCTTCGGGATTTTGCACATTTCTCTTTCAGAAACCATGTTTCTCAGTGTCTTGTTTCATGTGAAAATACGTTTTTTTTTGTGCGTGCTGCATAATTTAACCTCATGAAAATCATTCTTTTGGAAATCACAATAAAATTGCACTGAAAGTGAATCGAGTTTGATAGATGAGGTGATGGAGGGATGCCAGCTCATGTACAAATAGATTGGGAATACAGAAATAAATATTCTGCTGGAAAAATATCTTGTTTTATTGAATTTTTGGAAACTCCTCTGCTCTTTTTTGTTTTTGCATGTAACTCAAAATCTGACCGCTGGGGGGCAACACATCTTTACAGCGTTACCATTTCTGTCAAAGAGTAGATAATTTATTCAAGATACCACTCCAGAGCAGAAGTCCCTTTGGTGTGCAAATTATTATATTTGCTGAGAAGAATTACACAAGTAACTTGACATTTGCAACAAAAACATGAAGATAAAATAATTGAAGGATAAATAATACTGATTGTTGATAATTTTCAGATTGTCTTCATGTATATTTTGGCTTGGGGTATATTTCGGTCAAATTAAAGATATTATTGTTGACTCAATTTATGCCTATTGTTAGATTATTGAAATTCTGCACTTTCTGAGATTGAAACATCATATTTGTATTTCTCATGTAAGCATTGTTTTTACATTTCATGTATTTAACACCATGCCGGAATGTTTATTGGTTTTTATCTATATATACAGAGTCTATGGTTTTTATTCGATTTATATCTAGATAGTCATCTCTACTATCCACTTTTCTTTCACAATATCATAAATGGATCGCAAATGTAAAAAAATGAAATGATAGCCATTGTACTTTTGCTTAAACTATCACACTTTTCTTTTAGTATACCTGACATTTATCACCGTTACTGTATATTTTGCGATTCCTGGTATTTTGGACGGAGTGAACCATCTTACTATTGTGTACTCTTTGAGATATCCGTCTGTGATGACTGCGCATGCGCTGACTCCAGGGGCATGCTACACTTCACAACACGCTGAACTCTCAATGTGGATGTAGTTGGTGAGTTAAATGCTTAACAACTGAATTCTTAATAAACATTTATCAAACCAGAAACTGCATTTACTTTACTCTTAGGTGTTTTCAGCTGTCAGTGTAGCAGCTACGAACTAGAGTAGACTTACAAGCCAGTTCACCTAGTTTAGCTACTGTAAGCTAGTTCTAGATTCAGGTTGTTCTTTATACATATTTTTTAAATGTCTATAATTGCATTCATGTTTCTGACATTTTCGTGACGAAAAGGTTGTCTGTCAGACTTTAAATGTAAGGGTTATTTATTATGTCAGATGTTACGTTTAATGTAACAGCAAGTTTTAATTGTGACTTAGAGGTTAGCTGGCTATGTTGTTAGCTAAGTTTATTATTTGCTTGTGTGAAAAAACATGTTTGCTATAAGAGTGCAGGAACACCATTCTAAACGTTTTTTGAAACAATATATTGTGCGCTTTTGTTGCATTACAACTAAAACCGGGGCTTTTATAAATGTCTTTCAGTCTCCTGACCTTCATAACCTAACGTAGGAAAACAGAGATGTACTTAATTGATCCTAAATAGGGAAATGATTGTGTTACAGCATGCATTACACTGGAGTAAAAACTACACAATAAATATATGGAATATCTGATAAACTATATATAAATATAAAGAAATAAGTTGGAATGCACGATACAGTAATATCAAACTAGTACAACTACATTGAGGTAGAGTGTAGGATGGAGCAACACAGAGTAAAGTCTGGTTAAAAAAGAGAGAGGACAAAATATTATGTTATGAGTTTAGTAATAGGGATGCACTGTTTTACCCTTTTCACCTAAATAATACATTTTATTTTATTTTATTTAAATACCTAACTTAAAGGTGGGGTATGTAATTTTGGAGAAACCAAATTCGCTAGAATTTGAAACTACGCAGCCGAAAAAAATCTGCCCCTTCCTTCAGACTTCCTTACAGAGCCCCTCCTCCAACACACACGAACGCGCACATGACCAATGAGGGCACGAGATAAGTTTGTGCACAGATGGAAGGCTGACAGGCAGGTAGGCCATCCAGTTATTTTAGCTGGGCCGGCTCAGATGATTGGTCGTGCTTTTTACAGTACTACGGCTTCCACGGCTTCCACAGATGAATTCAGTGTTTCTGAAATAAATTACATACCCCACCTTTAAGGTACCAGCCAGTATTGATCCTATACCAGTTATCACAAACTTCAATCTGGTGTTACTGGCAAACTTTTTGCAAATATAGTTGAATTTCTTAAAAACAGCATGTCACTGTAGTTGAATCAAACCTTTTTCACACCAGGACGTATAGCTTTAGTTGGGGACTATTTCCAGCTGTGGATTTAACCACACATGGTTCCCTAGTGAGCTTTTCCAGAAGTCACAGTCTACAAAGTGAAATGCATACATTTATTTAAAATAAATCATGTTGAGTTTAGTTGATGACTTTTTAATCTTGAATAATTTGCTTTTATAGTCTGAGCTGATTACTATCTGTTGGAGTTCCCTGATGTTCCCTGATGCTTTAATATAATGAGCTGCGCCGACACAAAAGACAAACCTGCGCTCTACCAACGGGTCGTGTTGAAGAACGCCTCGCCGTACCACTACATGAAGGTCTGCCTGTAAGTCTCTCTATCTCTTTTTTAATACTGTTTATAAATACCGATGTATTGTTTTATTAATTGGCTCTTCATTAACTCTTTAAAGATGATCATATTTATTTTTGTTTTAGGGTGCATTAGGCTCAGGTAAAACAAAAAGTTTACAATTGGAAGCTGGGGGAAAGGGGGTACAATTTACAAGATAACATTTATGAGAAATAAACTCAAATATTATTTGAGATTAAAGTTGTAAATTAATAAGGAAATATTTCAAATGTACAGATAAAAGAAAATTCTGAAATGACAGTCACTAATTTACAAAAGAAACATTGCAAGGTAGGATCAACCTCACCACACTGCGAGCGATTTTATAAAAAAAAAGAATCTGTAAATAAAGAATACATATTTTAAAAAGTGGGGTAGGTAAGTTTGAGAAACCGGCTCGAGATACACTTTTTGTTATATTCCATGGAATGCTCTTAACATCCCGATAGCAATGAATATCTTAAGTGCTTTGACAAAAAATCCATAAAAGAATGTCATCTGTGGAAGCCGTAGCACTGTAAAAAGCACGACCAATCATTTTAGCCGGCCCGGCTAAAATGATTGGATGGCCTACCTGCCTGTCAGCCTTCCATCTGTGCACAAACTTATCTCGTGCCCTCATTGGTCATGTGCGCGTTCGTGTGTGTTGGAGGAGGGGCTCTGTAAGGAAGTGGCAGATTTTTTCCTGTGGGTGTTTCTCAATCTCGAGTAAAGCTGCTTCAGAGCCACTATTTCAAGCATACTACGTCATCGAGTGCCGCCGAAGTACTGTTCCAATCTCCAGCATACTTGGAAATCTACCGAGCCCGGCGTACTCCGTTTGGAGAAATTTCGAGGCTGCACATGAGTAGACTCCGCGGTCTTAAAATCCCCACAATGCTTTGCGCACAGACCAATTTCCCCAAATCTGTGGCGGAAGATGTAAGGCGGGGCCTCTCATATGACGCACACCTGCACACTTGCTAGCCTGTTCCACTTTTTGTTTTCCGAATGGCAGGAAGTATTCTTGCCTCGCTTCTGAAGCAAGATGCTCGGCAGACATGTGCTACCAAGCAAGCGTACTCGCGATTGAGAAACACCCTGTGTATTTTCAAATTCTAGCGCACTCGAGCTGGTTTCTCCAAAATTACCTACCCCACCTTTAAAATAAGATGAAGTGCAATATAAAGGTATAAAACATGTTACCTGTGTCTCTTTTTATAAATTATAAAAACAATATACCACAATTTACTACTTGTATCTTTATGGTTAATTGCACTTATTGTCAGTTGCTTTGGATCAAACGGTGTCTAATATTGTGGTGTCTACAACATGATAATATAGTTGCATCTTTACCCATGACATCTGTACCCTGATCCACATGATGTATTCTGTGTGTAGCGTTCTGGAGGATGAGTCTACCCGACTGAGTGCGGTCGATCTGAAGCAGTTCATCATCTCAGGGCTGGACAGTCTGTATGGAGAGGTGAGCTCACCAACACTGGGTCAACGGTTCAATTCCCACAGCGGGATCTGCTCTGATAATCCATGAAATGCTGGTTCAAGTTTAAATGTACTTGACAAACCTTCTTTATTTGTTGATGACTACCAGTTAACCTCAGGAAATTATAATGGGTGTTTTCACTATTATTTACATTTTAAAATAATCATTTATCAAAAAAAAGTTTTGGAGGTTTGTCTTAATGAAAAATATCTCTGAAGTTATATAATATAATTTATACAGATGTAGAATAAATACAATACTCCGATTTAAGTAGAAGGCCTGCATTCACTTTTTTACTCAAGTAATATTACAAAAAGATATTTATAGTACCAACAAGAGTACTCATTATACAGAATGCCCCATTTCAGAGTCATAAATAATATATATTACTTGATTTATAGTTAGTGATATACACATTTGCATGACTTTCATGTTGTAGCTGATAAAGGTGAAGCTAAACATTTATTTTACATTTTTTAATTAAGATATAACCTGGGCAATAAATACATGTAGTAGAGTAAACAGTGCAATATTGGCTTCCAAAATGTAGTATAAAGTAAAATTAATTACCTCAAAACTGTACTGAAGTGCAGTATTAGAGTAACTATACCTATTTAGCTTTTGTGTATGTGTTCCAGGTGGGAGCAGCGTTGAACTTTGACCTGTTGAAGTACGATAAAGACACCCTCACTGCCTTTCTGCGTGTTTACAGCAAGTGAGTTCAGCAGCAGCACAATGGAAAACACATTTTCACTCCTTCTACACAAGATGTTTTTTATATATGTGTGTGTGTGTGTGTGTGTGTGTGTGTGTGTGTGTGTGTGTGTGTGTGTGTGTGTGTGTGTGTGTGTGTGGTGTGTGTGTGTGTGTGTGTGTGTGTGTGTGTGTGTGTGTGTGTGTGTGTGTGTGTGTGTGTGTGTGTGTGTGTGTGTGTGTGTGTGTGTGTGTGTGTGTGTGTGTGTGTGTGTGTGTGTGTGTGTGTGTGTGTGGTGTGTGTGTGGTGTGTGTGTGTGTGTGTGTGTGTGTGTGTGTGTGTGTGTGTGTGTGTGTGTGTGTGTGTGTGTGTGTTTTTTAGGGGTTTGGTGAAGCTGTGGAGCTCCCTGACTCTGCTGGGCTCGTACCAGAAACAAGCCTGCGCCTTCAGAGTGCTGCAGGTCAGCACATCCACTCCAGATCAGTGTGCAAAAAGGATCTTTATGTTGTGCATTAGCTGCTTAGAGGCAGTTAGATATCTGAGTGGAAGTTAGAATGATACATCTTGGGCTGCACAGTAAGCTCTAGTAGAGAGCTAATAGTACTGAGGCTCCTTATGGCAGTGGATAAGGGTTCAAATCTGATCCGCAAACCTTACCAGTCCCTCTGTAATAAGGGCAAAACAGACAAATAAAACAATAAAAATAAGAGGACGCCGCCTTGGATTCACCTTTATACTGTACACCTTTGTGTATTTTGAATGTTGATTTTTTGTAAGGAAAGGAATTTGCTTGGTGTATAGATGAACACAGTAGGAGACATTCAAATGTTAAAAAATATAAAATACAAAAAAGGTAATATATAATAAGTATATCACAAATGACTGTGTATCGCATACAGTACAATTTGGAAAGGGTAGTATTGCGCAGAAATGTGCTAAATTGTCTTAGATAGATAGATAGATAGATGGATAGATAGATACTTTATTGATCCCAATTTTGGAAATTCTTGCTGTTACTGCTCTGACACCTGAATTTCCCTACAGGTATTAATAGATTTTTATTTAGGGAACCTGTGTTTTAGGACTCATTTCTCAACCTTATTTCTTTTGTTTTGACTCCAGGTGTCTCCGTTCTTGCTGGCGCTGACAGGAAACAGTCGGGAGCTGCAGCTGGACTGACGGAAGATGAGTTTCCTGTGGAGCAGATTCTTTGTTAACCCGAGGCGCTGCCTCTCTCCTCCCTCTTGTCGTCTGCTCCACGTCGGCCAGAAAGCCTCCCTCACCAAAGCGTTCTCTGCCCGAGATGTGCAGCTGTTCGCCGAGCTGACGGGCGACAACAACCCGGTCCACCTGGACCCCGTCTACGCCAGCACCACCGCCTTCGAGGCGCCCATCGTCCACGGCGTCCTTATCAACGGTCTGATCTCGGCCGTGCTCGGAACCAGGATGCCGGGCCGCGGCTGCATCTTCCTGTACCAGGAGATCCGCTTCCCCGCGCCGCTCTACATCGGAGAGGAGGTGCTGGCCGAGGCCGAGATTCGCAAGATCAAGATGTCGTTCGCCTTCATCGCCGTGACGTGCTCTGTGAAGGACAAGGTGGTGATGGAGGGGGAGGTGATGGTGATGATGCCTGAGGAGCAGCAGAAGAAGGAGTGAGAGGAGGAAGAGGAGGAAGAACATTATGTTATTTGCAGTGAATAAATAAAGTCTCCATTGCAGCACAAACAGTGCAGCCCGACTTCCCGAAATATTTTGGTTGCAGCAGTATTTTTTCATGACAGAATCCCCTCCCTTTTGTTTTTGTGTTGTAATTGATGTTCATTTTTTGATCATGTGCACAGCAGGAAGTGCATTTGGATAGAGCAGCTAGAAGAAAGAGGCGTCAGTCGCTTCATTACATTTGTTGATGTTTAATCTGCTCTTTATTTTGTTTAATGTGTGAGATATTCTGTGTGGAATAAAAACAAAATCTTTTTTTATGACAAAGTTATCTTTGAATTTTTGAGTAATTACAACCCCCTTTTTAAAAACAGACTGGGAAAACAATAAACACAAACAATATACTGCACATCACAGAATTAAAACGTTTCAAGAATCATGAAAAACATCAAAGTATTTATATGGTGTCTCAGATATTTTCTGTTTTTTCTCGTTGAGGACCGACACATTTTTTTGTTGTATATATTCAATACTGCTTTATATAAATTAAAAACACTTACACCATAAATAGATGCATAAAGATCACAAATTGGTACAAAATTCTAATTAATTATTTGAAAATAGGTGATTATGTTCCCCCCATAGAAAGCTTATTAAGCAAGACATTTATACAAATAAAAAAAACCGTTTAATCAAACTCCGTGTTTTGTTCAGTTATTGGGGTTAGGGTCAACTTCATGTTGATGATGGGCATTTCCCTTTGCAGTTCTCCCTCCGGACCAGCAGGGGTCACTGACGCTCCGTGACGTTGGTTGCGTAGCAGCGTTTCTTGGTTACGGTAAAGCTAAGCTAACAGCTAGTTTGCATCTCTCTGGCTGTTTCCTGCTCGGCTCAGCGGGGCTCCTCCTCAGTGTCTTCCCGGCGTTTTCAGTCAGTGACACACGGACGTTTACATCAGACTTTCACCGTTTATCCTCCGGGAATGTCTTACCTGGAGAAGCCGGCCCCCGGCAGGCTGCTGCTGGACGACACCGTGCCGCTGTCTGCGGTGATCGAAGCCAGCCAGAACCTGCAGTCCCACACGGTGAGTGTTTACCGGGAATAAAACGGCAGGTAACCGTTAACAACATGTAGGTTTAACGGTAACAGCTTATTTAAATGGTTAATTAGTGGTAGATGTTCATGTCTGGCTATTGGTGAGTTTACAAATATAGCTAAGTTGATTTACAAGTGGGTGTTTGAGCCTCTCGCTGCGTCACCGGTTCCTTTATCGGACACAGACGTGAAAGCTTTATTTCGTATCATTTCCTGTACATCGTTACACTAACCACCAACCGTCGTTCACAAATAAATACATAATAGTTTTAAAACAGAACAATCAACTCAAACAATACGTGTATAGTCAAATTGTAAGCATCAGTGTTGTAACATAGATCCATTATCGGACAGACAGGCAGCTGACCCTGGCTCTGTATCGCTGTCACTGATTAAGCAATTTCCTGGAAACTCTGCAAACTGCTGATATACAGGCTTTTGGAGTGGAGCACTGACAATGACTGACTGGATGAAGGACCAGGAGCTGAGACAGTGCCAGTGAAAGCCCGAGAACAGCCAGTTAAAGTTTTGCGTTGTATAAATTCCTCTTAGTTCTGACCCACAAACACTCTCTAAAACACAAACTATGGTCGGTTCGAATGTGTAATGGTCTGTTGCAACATAACATTTAAATACGTTTGTTACATGATTTATCCCTTTTACATCCTTCTCAGAACATTGCATCAAGACCACACGCCTTGTACAGATGTAAAACATTCATAATTTACAAGTGCCAAATGATGTATGCCATCTATGGTGAATTAAAGATGGAGTGGATTGTATAACTTTTTATAAACAACAAACAATTAAGTATTTTTCTCTAAAGGAGCGTGGCATCTTCAACCAACATTACAATTCCATTATGCTGGGGCTAGCCAATGTTCTGCATTACTTTGAACTGAAATGTGTACTTTAAATTCGTGTGTGCAATAAAAAAAAGACGTTAATAACAATGGAACTAGCCTTGTTAATATTAAAGCAGGACATGTGGTCTGTCCGATAACGGACGCATGTGCGGTGGTTTGTTGTTGTCAGTCCGACAGGGATCAGCTGAGCTAGCCGGTTAACCAGGCGTGCTAATGTCAGGCATCTGATCATTGTTGGTGTTAATGTTAGAGTAAAAGAAAACCATAAACGCATTGGAGAGACTAATAATGTTGGACGTAATCATTATATTCATGTATTTATTTGTATCAAAAACATTGCCTTCTCCTCATTGCTATAGACTTATTGTTTTTTCTATTAATCCTCATTGAAAATCAACCAAAACAGCCACATTTCTGTTATTCAGAATCCAGATTTCCTTGAGGCTGGATCTGTCAGATGACTTCTGAATTTCCCAACATAAGCAGCTGAAATGAATGCAACACTGTGAGGCCAGGCCCCTGCTTACTGTTACACTGTGCTGGGGAAACCCTCATTTAAAGTCGCACACAGACATTTGTATTGACACAAATTGCTAAGTGAGTGCTGGATAATAACCTTGTCGTTAGGTCAACTACATTTTTTCTAGATTGCAAATACAAGCATAATATTATTGTTAAAAGGATAATACTCCAACTCGGTTAATCTGCTGATACTACTGCACTTATTTTCCCCAACTGGGATCATTGACATGTTAAATAACATGAGGGGATTACTACAGTGAGTCTGCAGCTCGGCGGGACTGTGGCAGGGGAAAGGCCACTGAGGGCAGGCTCTCTTTTACTGATTACCCTACATATAAAACAAAAGAAGCACATGACTGTTACAGTAAACATCAACACATTATACAACAATCAGGCGAAGTGCATTAACATAAAGAACATCAACTGAAAGAAAACACATGCATTCACACTGCTCTGTCAGTCAAACGGGATTCAAATTGGTTTAACGGGATTAGCTTGTCTAATTTAACAAGCTTTCGCAGATTGTTTCAATTGTGTGCGGTATAGTATTAAAGGGCTAGTTTCCCCATCTCTGTATTAACATGATTAATTTCAAAGGCCAACTATTTTTGGGAGCTAATTAACTTTGAATTTGATTGATAGTTAAAAAGACCTAGAAGATATTAGGTCATTTGTCAAGAAGAGCTTTGTAAATGTCACCCAATATTTTGTATAAAGTCAGTACTGATGCTGAATCATGTTCCAGCGTATTGCAGCATCCCTATTGTTTAATATTTTAGTTTTTAACAGCTTCCGCAAGCCCAAGATGATTGCAGATTAAAGGTCAGCCTTACAGACTCATGAGTGGAGAGTTATGAGGATAGCAAGAAGGCAGGTTTATTATAACTGCACTATTCAAAAACAAGGCAATTCAAAGTACTTTGCATAAGGGATTTTAGTTCATATCGGCAAGACAAGGCTGGTTTATTTATGTGGCACATTTCAATGTGCTTTACATACAAACACAATAAAAGCATTAAGATAAAGTGTAACAGAAAAGCATTATAAAACAACATCTCAAATACCCGTACCTGTAAAAACATTACATTACATTACATATCATTTAGCTGACGCTTTTATCCAAAGCGACTTACAATAAGTGCATTCGACCAAGAAGATACAAACTTGAAGAAAACAGAATCATATAAGTACATCAGGTTTCATAGAGCCAAAACATTTCAAGTGCTACTCAACTGGCTTTAGATAAGCCAGTCCTTTATTAGTATATAAGTGCTTAGTTAGTATATGAGTGCTTAGTTAGTATATAAGTGCTTTGTTAGTAATTCTATCGCTCGAAGTGGAGTCGAAAGAGATGAGTTTTCAGTCTGCACCGGAAGATGTGTAGGCTTTCTGCTGTCCTGATTTCAATGGGGAGCTCATTCCACCATTTTGGAGCTAGGATAGCAAACCCACGTGTTTTTGCTGATGGGAACTTCCCATTTTACATACATAAAAAAGCCACAAATAAAATAATTAATACAAAGTTGCAGTGCAGGGTAAGATATGGAGAATGATTTGATTTAGTAAAAGGCAGTGGCACATATCTTCTGCATTTAAACAGAAGATATGTGTAAGACTTAGAAAGACATCAGAAAAGTAAAAAAGACATCAGAAAAGTAAAAATATTACACCTAAATATTGTGAAGATGACGTTAGTTATAATAAATACATTTCAAAGTGAACTTTAAATAAATCTATGGTGATATCCATTGAGTAAGTTGTCTTTGTACAAATGCTTTCCCTGATCATTTTTAATGTTAATGCATTTGTTGTTGTTGAAACTCATGGTTGCTGCTATCTTTGAGCCGGGTTGTCTTTATAAAAGAGTTACTTGATCTCAGTGAGACTAATCTCGTTTAACAAAAGTCTATTAAAAGATAAAGAAATGGTTTTGATGACCTATAATAGACACTGTCATGCTGGAAAAACCGTTTTTGTAATGCTAAATTATTGTTTAAAGTCACATTACAAAGCCTGATTTGTGAAGCTGCTCACATGTCATCTCTGCGGCAGAGCCTGGAGTCTGTCAGCAGGAAATGAACTGTACAAAGACTGAGAGGATCAGATTAAAGAAGAACAACAGACTAATACCATGGTTGTTGTTGTCATACTGAAGTTCCTCAGATTCTCCCCTGCACTATGTTATGTAAAGCGTTTATTTGGAAATGAAACAGAAAGTGAACACACGCATGATCTAAAACCTGTTTGATCTACGTGGCATTCTCTGTGCTTGTGACCTGTTGAAACTATGAGTCTATTCATCATAAAATCATGACCTTAATCTAATGATAAAGACTTACTTACATATTACAAATTCATCTTTTAATAATATAATTGCGTAATTAAAATTGTATATATCTTAATGACAATTTTTTTTAATAATACTACAACTTAGTTATTTATACAGAGTTATATATAGAGTTATTTTATGAAGTCATTCTTAAACACTGACTGAACTGTGTATGTATAATGTTATCACTTAAAACTTTCCTAAATTCCATCGTAAAACTTCCTTTCTTTGATAATAATAATGACATTTTTCACATAAATTAAATCCTTGTTTTAATATTCAAATTAAATATTTCCTCTCACTAAAATATCACTTTTTATTTTCTTGAATTACCTTTTAAAATGTGTGCTGAATGTCAGAGACACACACAGACACAGCTGTTTGAAATGTCAAGGTTTATTTCACATTTTTCACCTCTATCCTTCCCCCAGTGTTTCACAAATGTATATTTCTACTGATAGTTCAATTGTTTTATCTTACAATAAAGTGCTATATTTTCTCTCGTCTCTCAGGAGTACATCGTCAGGGTCCAGAGGGGCGTGTCTGCAGAGAACAGCTGGCAGGTAAATTACAATTTACAATCACCTGGGAGTGAATATCACCACTCTAAAAACAGAGTTCTTACGGTCATTAAAAACCTGGAAAAGTCATGGAAATTCAAAATGCTAATTCCAGGCCCTGGAAAAGTTATGGAAAACAATATTTTTCCCAAAGTTTTGGAAATGTAACTAAAGTTGCATCAAATATAATTAATATTTTATTTAATCGCCGAAATAGTAATACTATAACGATAATAAATACTGTATCGTATAGTAATGAAACGTAAAATGGCATTTAACTGACAAGGTATTTTGCTGGTGAGAGATTTGAGTTGCTTTAGCCTGTAGAAGCTAGTAAGCCTATTTGATTTGTTTTAGATAGGCACAACATGTTTCATATGCAGACCTTATTTTCCTGTTCCATGTTAAAATAAACTATTTTCAGTGGTAACACTGAGAAAGAGTACTTTTTTTGGTCATGGAAAATTAGGTAAAGGTCATGGAGAAGTCATGGAAAAGTCATTGAAAATCATTGGTGAAAAAGTGTATGAACCCTGTAAAAAGCCAATTAGGGAATTTGTTTGGCAGTAAAATGAACCTTCAATACTGTCCTTGTTTAATCATAACACCCTAAAATGATGAATGGACTGATATGTGTGTGTGTGTGTTTATTTTGCAGGTTATTCGGCGCTACAGTGACTTTGATGTTCTTAACAGCAACCTGATGGTGAGTTTAACATCTTTAGAGGGGCTATGCTATTGGGGGCTTCCCCTTTCATGTGGTGTGTTATATATGTTTTTGTAAATCTAAATAGTCTGCAAAGGCTAAAATCCATGGGTTCCCTCCAGAAGGAGTTTCTCTCCTACACCCCCCCCATCTGTAAGCCCTTGACCAATCACAACAGAGCCGGGTAGCTAACCAATAAGAACAGACTGGGCTCTGGTTTCAGACAGAGGGTAAACATTGAAAGAAAATGAGCATAATATGTCCCCTTTAAAGTTGACCTGATATTGCAATTGCAATATGATTGAGGATATTGGAAGGAATGATATATTTTACATAATTTATCTCATTATCATTGAAAGGAGTACGAAAAAAAAAATCATCCTCTGGTTCGTTGCCACACACACACCAGGTTCATCTTAGCCAACCTCCTTCCTGTTTGGAAACGCTACATGGCGGTGTGTTACAACATGTTTAAGACTTTGCTGTCGTGTAAAGATTACCCACAAGCCTGACAAACAGTCAGCTCTACTTATGTTGTGTGTCAGATTATCCCGGTTGTGACTTGTCTTCTGTTCAGGTCAAAAGATTCTTGGATAAAAGGAAGTTAGCAGCAGTTTTTTCTGCTGAGGTTTCTCCTGCTCATTTCCTTTCGGGGTCTCAAACTGACCCTGATCCTCAGTCAACCAGCAGAACTGAGCGAACCCTGTTGTCTGCTTCAACGTACACAAAAAGTCTATAGTGGATAACACAAAAGACGTTTAATGTTGATAAGAAAACGCACCTCTCCATCTTTCTCTGCAGGTTTGTGGCATCAGTCTCCCTCTGCCTCCAAAGAAGTTAATTGGGAACATGGACAGGGAGTTCATAGCAGAGAGGCAGAGAGGACTGCAGGCCTTTCTGGACTCCATTACCCAGCATCCCATGCTTTCCTGCTCCTTGACTGTAAAGAAGTTTCTGGACCCAAACAACTATTCTGCCAACTACACAGGTTTGTTTCTTATCTTCTTATTCAGAGGTGGACAGTAATATCAAGTACTTTACTTAAGTACACGTTTAGGTACATTAATGTTGCTTTATTCTACTCACTACACATGTAATGTTGTACTTATTAGCCAACTACATTTACCTCATTAAGTTTAATATAATGACTTCGGACCAGTCGGACCAGTCATTGTTATCAATCACCAGGAAATACCTTTCTATTTTCTAAAGCTAATGTAAGTGTTCTCTCTCTCTCTGTGTGTCTCAGAGATCGCCCTGCAGCAGGTCTCCATGTTCTTCAGGTCGGACCCAAAGTGGGAGGTTCTAGAGCCGCTCAAAGACAACGGTAAGAATCGGACTAATGTCATCTTTTTAACATTAAAACCGTTTGTGGTGCTAATGCTAACCGCAGGTTCCACATGCTGATGCTTGCTTTGTTATCATTGTATTCATATTTGCGTTAAAAAGGCTGCAACTATTGATACTTTTTACTATAATAATTATGTTCTTGATTAATTGATTGTATAGGAACTTAAAGAATAGTGAAAAATGGCTTGATTGAAAAAATGTATACAGAAATACTAAGTTTACTTTAAATCCCAAGATTATCAAACTGCTTTTTTTGTGTAACAGTTCTAAGCTAAATATATGTAGTTTACTTTGATCGATAACAGGAAAAGAAGCAAATCCTCACATTTAGGAGCTGGAACTCGTTTTTGATTCATTATTAAAATAGTTATTATCTTTTCTTTTGATGGACTAACCAACAACTGCCTCAGTGTTTCAGGTCTACTTGATGTATACGTTATGCAGGGGTTTTTCTAGAAAAATATAGTAAAGAGGTTCAATACTGTGTCGATGAGGGAAACACCGTTTACGCTGCGGACGTAAACAACAACGCAAGATCGGAGCTCCGTAAAAACAAAGCTATCGATGCCGTCTGACGATTTTCATATTTTCCGAGTAATTATACAGTTTTTGACTAACCAACATTTTGTTTTCTGGCATCACTTTTACGGGGAGAATCAGCATTTTGGTATGAGGGGGCATGCTGAAAGTAACAGGGTGCATAACCCCTGTTACCCGGTTTAGAAGAAGCCCTGCATTATGTATGTCATGTCAAGTTTTGTCCCCTTTAACCCTTTAACAGTAAACAGACTTTATACAGGAGAAGAGTCATTTTATTTACTAATGACTGTTTCACTCTCTGTACTGATTTAAAATCACATTTTGGACTGTTTTGTAACTCTCCATTCAAGATGAGTTTCATTGAGCCATCACAATGATCCTGAAATAAAAATAAAAGTATAATACAGCACATAAAAAGTTTCCAGTACATTTTGAAGACTGCATTTATTTGATTATGTGCTGTAATGCTTGGATGAGGAAGAGTTGTTGTCATACTTGATGAGTTGAGTGACATGCTGATTGTTTTTCAGGATGGAGGATCAGGAAGAAATACTTTTTAATAAAAAACAAAGAGCAGCCCAAAGAGCGGTATCTGCTGAGCTGGGTGAGTGACAGGAATCAAATCATGTGACACCTTGGTCTCCTTTTGACTTTAATCTTCATTGATCGAATTCACAGATTAAACACACGGTTTAAAACACACATTTGTATACATACTACACAGCCAGAAATGTAATATAAGTGTGCAACAGGAGGTTTTATCTGGGTCTTTACAAAATGAATTTAGAGTTATTTTTTAAATGTTTATGAAGTTCCAAACACTCATGATGCGCATGTAATAACATGCCCCATCATTTTGTAATGCATGCCTTTATGCACTGGGTGTATATAACGTTTTTAGTTTTGGAAATATTTATTTTTTATATCAAATTTAAGTTTTGTTTATTTTGATGATATTTATTGTATTTTGAACCAGATTATGTCGCCTTTTTTTCCAAGTATTGTAAAATCCCAACTTCCTACTGCTTGCACTCTGATGATTTCTTCATGTTGTGGTCCGTCTGTCTGCAAAAATCTGACATGTGTAATAGAAAAGCGTTTAAGGAAGCCGTGAGTTCAGAGATCAAATAGCACGTGGAAAGTTTTACTATATATATTCTTACTTGTCTTTCTCTTTCGAGGGAGAAAGAAGAAAAAGGAAGAGTGTTCCTCTTTCACTTCCATGTATCACATACTCAAAGATTTCCCACAGTCCAGAAGATTGAATTTATGTTGATTTAATCTCAATAAAATGTTATTAAGTGATGTGTAGTTTCAGTCAGAAGCAACAGATATAATTCAGTCTGTAAACAGTCTGTTTGTTCAACAGAAAACGGATTTAAAGGAATTCCTTCAGGGCCTTTTAATGCACTTAAGGATTAAATCTGTGTCTGTGTCTGTGTCTGTGTCTGTGTCTGTGTCTGGCCAAACAAACAAATATTGCTCTGTTTCAGCTATTATTGGCAGCTTAGCCGTGTGGAGAATAAGATGCTATGTGTTCCCCTAAGTGTTCTGTGCTGCTTAGCCCCGATATATTTGATTCCCTGTCTTATGTAATATAATTTGTGGAACCAAATAAAGTATTCAAATGTGTGTGTGTGTGGTAGGTGGACCTGGGTCCTGATAAGTTCCTGTCTGACAAAGACCTGCAGTCAGCCATGAAGCTGCTGACCAGCCTCTTGGTACGTGAACACAGTAACTTCACAACACACACAACTGAAGACCATAATCTGACTTTTTTTTCATGTGCTTTATATTTTGGCATAATAAGCAAACATTAATATGCTATAGAAGTGTATGTAAAATGTGTTTCTGAATTTGCAATAACAACAAAAAGGAGCCAATATGTTGTTACATTACAAGGTTATTAACATGCATCACCATCCTGCAAATTTGACAAAGATTATCTTTAAATTATATTAAAAATGATTAAATACTGAAGACAGTCCTAGCTAGTAATAGAAAATGATACTATTTAGATTTTAATACAATTATTGAATCCAGTGATGGATTTGTTTCTACTTAAATATCTGCTATAAATAATCTTCTCCCCCGCTGCAGGTCCCATACCTCTGTCCACTGCTGTTCTCCAGCACCAGCGAGTCCTCAGCTCTGCTCATCCGGCCGTTCAGTGAGAGAGGCTCCCTGAGAGACCACATCTGCAAGGTGTGTGTGTGACATGTGTGTGTGTGTGTGTGTGTGACATGTGTGTGTGATGTGTGTGTGTGACGTGTGTGTGTGTGTGCAAAGCATCTGATTGTCAGCTCAGAGATATACAGATGTGGTTTGGAGATATCTGGATATTAGTTTTGGTCTCTAACCTAATAAGTGATCTAATTTAATAACTCTCTGTAAAACTAGACGACACACCAAACACAATGTTGACGGTTTTTGTTCAAACTACATTTCCTCTCCTGCAGGGTTTGAAGAAGTACTCGGAGCTTTTACTGAAGTGTAGTGATGGGAATTGCAAATTAGCGTGGGCTCTAAATGCTGTGATGTGTGGCATTATGCTACAAACCTGTTTCTATACTAATGAACATTTAAATAAATTAAATATAGTAGCAATTCCACAGTGTAGAAAAAGTAGATACTTAAAAGTACTCATGCAGAATGAAACGCTTAAAAGTAATTTGTGTCATACTTGTGGTTCATAATTAGTGGCTGCATCATTATGTTGCAGATGGGGATAATTGTACTACTTAAAGTACTGACTGGTTACTTTATCCATAACAAAAAAGGCTATCCCACTGTTCTGAGGCAAGTAACATTTGAAAGTAAATCACCTCACATGGTGATAAAAAAAGGAGAGTTGATGTTGTAAGTAGCTATGGAGGTAACTATCTCACTTCCTTATCTCTGTTCAGAGTTGCTGATGCGGCAGCAAAACTTGATTTTATTACCACTATAAATAAATATATAAAAACATTTTGTCAAGGGTCAAGTATTAATACAATTTGGCCAAGTAGCTTTCTTACTGACTTGTGGAAAAAAAAATACAATCATGTTGAATCCTGCACAATTTATGAGTTGCTTTATGTTTTTTCAAATCAAAAATCTTTTAATTTAGTTTCGACAATCAATAAGCAGTGTTTGTCATATAGTAATGGTAAACATAATATATGCCAATGCAAATGAGCGATTGGTCTGTGCTGATTGTATGTACAAAAGGAAAAATAAAAAACAAAACAAGAAAAACACAGACAAACAATAACAACGACTAAAGTAATCCCCTATCACTGCCAGTGATCCTTATACACACGAATATATGCCAGACATATTGTTGGAGGAGTATATATACATGTAAAACAAATGCATATACACACATGCATATACACACACGCAACCTACACATACACATTTGCTGTATACATACACATACATACATACATACATATGCTGCACTTAAGCTAAACCAATAACAGAATGATTTACAGCGTTTGGATTTATAAAAGGTCCCCAGGCTTCCTGAAATGTGCTGTTTGAGTATAGAAGTGAGTATCTGATCTTTTCAAGTGTCATACAGGACATAACATCTGTCAACCACTGTAGATGAGTGGGCGGGAAACTGTCTATCCATCTAAGCAGGATGGCTCGACGAGCTAAGAGGAGAGCAAAAGACAGAGATCGCTGCCGTTCTGCAGTTAAACGCATCTCCTTTCCTATTACCTCAAATAGGGCAGCCAGAGGCTTTATGTTTTTTATTAACAATCTGAACAGTACCTAGTAACTAATGTACGGAAAAGTAGTCCCAGCAGTGTTGCCTGGTGGAAAATGAGAACTGTTGACCCTCTGTGTGCAGGCGAAGCCCAGAGAGAGCTCCCTGAAGAAGTACTGCAACCCCAAGAAGAGTCAGGGTCTGGAACTGCAGCACATCAAACTGTACGGCCGTCAGATCCTCGAGGTACGCACGCACGCACGCATGCACGCACGCACGCACACACGCACACACGCACACGCACACGCACACGCACACGCACACGCACACGCACACACACCAAAGTGTTTTTCATTATTAAAAAGTAACTGTGTTTGTGTGTCAGGGTCTGAAGCTCCTCCACGATGGCGGCCTGTTTTTCGGACACCTGCACGCGTCCAACGTAATTGTGGATGACGGTGTGTGTCGACTGATGGATGTGGAGAACGGCATGCTGGGAGTTCCCTCAGCGCTGCGACCGGCCTTCATCCAGCTCAGGAAGATCAATGTACGTAAATATTGAACAATTTTAATACATGGGGATTTTTGTTTTAGAAACCTATCCTTATTAATAATTGTAATAAGAGCAAAGACAATTCAAATGCAATACATTTAACAAACAAACAGACAATAATATTAGGCAATGACAAGACAGTAGATGACTAACATTTAAAACGGAGACCATGAAAACTAAAGTCAATTAGAGAATAAGTAAAGAGCATGATGGTATTAATGAAGTAAATTGGTTTTTAACTTCATCTGTAATAGCTTTTGCAAGAGTATTCCATCATTGTTTTGTGTAGTTAAAAAAAAAACCTACTCTGCTTTTTTCTTATCGGATTACATAACATAAAACCATTCCCATCAAAGTAACACACACAAAATCTCTCCTTCATTTTGCTTGTAATTGTTAATTTAATTAGATGATTATTAGCCAGTATATTCTTTTATTGTCTGAAAAATGGACACGATTTAAAAGAATATATATATATATTTGAAGGTGATAAATGGAGAGGAAAGAAATATTGATAAATGAGCCCGCTTTTCTATGAACAACATGGAACAAATCTACATAGGCCAAGTGATCCTGTAATGTAGCATCATACTTAGTGTGGGAGGCTGTGGCTCAGTGGATAGTGAATCAAGGGATAGCAAGTTCGAGTCCCACTGCAGTCAGCATGTCGTTGTGTCCCTGGGCAACACACTTCACCCCAAATTGCTCCTGTGGGGATTGTCCACAGTATTGAGTATGTAAGTCGCTTTGGATAAAAGCGTCTAACATGTAATGTAATGTAATGTGTGTGTGTGTGTGTGTGTTTGTGTGTGTGTGTCTGCAGACCACAGAGAGCATCGACGTCTTCTGCTTTGGACATTTACTCTACGAGATGACGTACGGCCGACCCCCGGACAGCATCCCCGTCGAACAATACCCCGATGTCCCCTACACTGCTGTGGGTGAGTATATTTAAACACACACACACTCGCAGAGATTACAACTTATGCTTACAGATGCTGTCACATGTCAATGTGTACATCCTGACATTTAAACCTGAACCATAGTTTACTCCAATGCCCCATTGAATTTATTCCTATTGTGCTTTGCTGATTTATTTTCTTTGTGTGTGTGTGTGTTCAGTGTCAGTGCTGCAGTCCATTTTGTCCGCAGAGGCCTGTAAGAGCGGGATGCCAACAGTGTCGGCGCTCATGCAGACACCGTGAGTCCACATGTTGTCAGTCTACTCACATGTTGACTTTCTTGTTGAGCAATAACACACATACAGTCTATTTGATTTACATGAATCAACTACATGTTTACAGATCTGCTCGGGAAACAAGTTAGTATCAGTGTAAATGACAGTCTGACGACATCTTGATCCAACACAGGGAATTTAGCCTTTGCAGACCATTTACATGCACAAAAACCTTTATAACACACTACAGGAAAGGGAGAACCCTAAAAGCCAGATAGGGTCTCTTTAAGACAAACACATATCTGGAATTTGTACTATGAAATGAAAAGGAACCTATTCATATTTTCCTTTCTGTTGCTTTTGAGTCACAGTTTTTATGTTTTGCAGGCTGTTCAGTGACGTCCAGCTCCAACACTCAGAAAAACTCCAGATCAAGGTGAGGGGCTCAGTTTGATCTCTCTGAGAGTTTGTCTATGCATACACAAGGTTTCCTTCAGGATATTGGATTTATTTAATTCCCAAATGTATTCATATATCACTAAACATCAACTTCATCTTTCTTTATGAAACAAAACATGGCCAGCTCTCCCTCAGGTTTCAAGGTTTGCAGATAAGAAGTGCTTAAGCAACCTGGTGTTTTAATATTTCTTTATATATATTTATTTTTTCCTGTCTGCTTTTTAATGAATTTAGTTGTGTTTTATTTATTATTATCTTCTGGTTCGTATTTTGCTTTTTTAACCTTCTACTAAATCATGTAAGCATAGTTTTCTCGCCTTATCTTGTTTTTTTCCATTTTTCCCCCCCGTTCTAAGCAAATAAATAAAAAATAGAGATCAATATTTCCTGTGATTAAAACAACAAAGATGAAGATGATCTCTGACCCCCACCCCCCTCCTCCTCCTCCTCTCCTGCAGGTTCCCAGCAGGCTAAAAGAGGCGCTGAAGACGGCGAAGGAGAGTCTGGAGAGGAGGCTGCAGGAGGAGCAGAGAGTGGTTCGTCTCTCATTCATTTGTTTATTTATTTCCCCTCTGCTTTCATACGGCTATGCAGCTTCACTGGAGACATTTTGGAGGTCATGTCCTTCATGTCAAATCTCTATATTTTAAATAAATCGGTGACCTTTGAGATAAGGTGGGAACGATGCCTGAGGGCTCATGGGACATTAAAGACTGGAAAAACATTGCAATATCATTTCCCACAACCTTGTCATGTTGCAAAAACTCTACTGACATTAATGAGGATTATTTCAAGATGAACTTCCCGTTATAGCTAGTGGAACATTTTCTATGTAAAAAATACAGAGTGACTTCATGCAGCCATTTCATATTTTCTAAAGTGAAATTACATTCTGACACATAAGGATTGTTACCCCTGCTCCTAAAAGTAAACTGATATCATTTCTCAGAACTTGTCCATGCATACAGTGTACAAGGTTTCCTTCAGAATATTGAATTCATTTAATTCCAAAAATAATGTATACTATATTGACCTAGTGACCATCTTGGTTCCTTTTTATAAAACAAAATATGGCCAGTTCTTCCTACAAGATTGTTTGTCCTCAGCACGGGTGTCCAAACTACGGCCCAAGGGCCAACTGCAGCCGGTTGTCTATTTCTAATTGGCCCTCAGCAAATTCAAAAAGTAATCTTTTCTTATATTGTACTCCTTAAATACATTTATAAACATATATTACACAGTGGTGTTTATGTGTTAATTAGCCCACTTAATAAGAGAACATTTTCTAACAAATCTTAGTTGAGAAAAAAAGCCCAATAACTTCTGAGGCTTCTGTTTTAAGGAATGAGCTGCCTAGGCTACACTTACATTTTAATTTTAATTTTAATTTAACCAGATAAAAGCATTGAGATAAAATCTCATATACAATGCTGACCTGGCCAAGAAGGCAGCAACGTTACACATAACAGACATATAAAATAAAAAGAACACAACTAAGTAAACAAAAGACAAAAAGCAGTCACTACATTGTGCACATTTGGGACAGTAAGGTACACTACTCATTATAATATATATTATAATGAATAAGTGAAACCCTACGGAGAGCTGTGATGTAGGCTGTTTGTATTCTCAAAGCAGATTCAAGTATCAAGCGTAATGTACCTACATTTGATTGATTTTGCTGACTCATAACTTCACTTATGAGGCAATACACCTCAGCTCTAGTGAGGGGCCCAGGCCTTTGTATGATTTTCTGTATGTGGCCCTCAATAATGTTGTCGTATTTGAATTTGAAGTGCCACCAACACAGAAGGCTGACCAGAGCGAAGTCTCACCACGGCTCAGAGGAGGAGAAGAAGAGGAGGAAGATTCTGGCGAGGAAGGTAGGCAACGAAATGTAGCACCAACTGCACAACAGAATAACATCTGACCATCCACACAATACAACAGCTACAAATACTCTTTACAGTGACTCTGGTGCTAAGAACCATGGGATATGTTGTTTTCTTTTTTCAGAAACCTACAGGAACATGTTTCAACTTTAGAAATGAAAAACATGCATTTTATGTTTGAGTTTAGTGGTTGTACTTTGGAAGTGGAAATGGTGCTTGATAGTGATGTTAAATGAAAAGTGAAATGTAATGTTGTTTTTTTTCTTATTTGCAGAAGTCACGACAGTCGGCTTTTGAAAATGAAGAAGACGTCTCTGTCAGAAACAACAATAACTCTGGTAGATCACTGCTGTTACTAAACTCAACAAATACTCAATTAATGTTTAGGTTTTGAAGGTGCTTGGATGTCCTTTAGTGGACACAAATGTCCGCACGACGTCATACTAAATAAGCCAACAACTTCATTCAAAATATTGATTTGAAAATGCTTTTATTAATTTAAAAATGATCGTATTGCTTCCGATAAGATACAAATGGTCTGTTCCACTGCCAACGGCTGGAACTGCAGCAACTTTAAATGACGATCAAGGTTTTCTGTAACTGTCCAAGTCTGTTCACATTTTATTTTCCATGAACCAGTTTTTAAACATTGCCAAAGCCCATACCGTGTTTCTGTTACCGTTTACTTCCCTTCTGTCTTCTTCTTCTGTTGATTTCTCTGACGTCCGGCGCTCTGTCTTTCCTTCTCTTGCACTGTTTTTCTTTTCTTGACTGGGGACAGTTAAGAATCCAAAGTCCATGCTCTCCACAAATATAAACAAAAGTATTCCACAGTGTTTTCTGACAGATGAAACTAATGTTTGTTGATATGACTGCACATAGTCTCTTTATCCTCCTTAGCAGCGCCTGTTGTAAAAAAATAACAGACCTCTTGAATGTCTGAATTGACCAATCAGATTAGAATATTGACCTAAGCCTTGTAATAATTGGTGTTTACCGTCTGCACAAACCTCGTCATGGATTGAAATGTGGATAGTTATCCATTGTCTGTCTCTTGATCTGTCACGTTAAAGCTTTATCTGTAGATTGAAGGGATCCTTTGTAGTTTTTCTATAAACAAAGTTACATTCAGTGTCGACACACTGTGACCTTAATATCATTTATCTGTGCACACAATTTCTTCTTTTTTTTTTTTCAGATTGTTGCTAAATATAATAATTTGTGTTTTTGTATTCTGTCTCTCTTTAGGTTCTGGAGCCAGTTCACCTCCCACATGCCCCTCCTCGCCCACCCCCCCATCCACCACAGGTAGGCCTGTGTGTCTGTCTGTGTGTCTGTCTGTCTGTCTGTGTGTCTGTGTGTCTGTGTGTCTGTGTGTCTGTCTGTCTGTCTGTCTGTCTGTCTAAGTATTAAACAGACTCCAGCGCCCCCTTGTGGTGAGGACCTGCTGTGATGTGTCAGCATGTTACTCAGAATAATAACGTTTTCTTATTAACCCTGAAATTCCTCCCATTCCTTTTCATGAGAGATGTGCATATGTAAATATGAAGACTTAAAGTTGAGTCTGTCTGTCTGTCTGTCTGTCTGTCTCTTCACCTCTTCTCTCATGATAATCACAGGTATTCTTTTCTTCTATAGTAGGTTGTATTATACACTTTGTGTCTTTAGCTAGCCTCACTCAGGGTAGGAAACACTAATGTTTACATTTATACGTTAAAGTGTGAGTCTGGTGATTAGGGATGTAAGAAAAATATTGACATATGATTTTTTGTCAATAACAATGCATGACTTTTAAATTCATTGTTTGTAAAGGTCAATGTCAGAAAGTGGCTCAGATTGCCCAAAGAGTAGTGCTACGATGCAGCCTATGGCCATCTTTGAAATTGACCTTCATTTAGCCGTCAAGTACACATCAGTAACGCTTGTGACTGCATCCTTCACAGTTGCGAGTCTGTGCACATGCTGACAAGGTTAAACCAAAGGTGGAAATGCGTCCACCAATAGAGGTTTCCATCATTGCATCTATTATTACGGGACTTGTGATTTTTGCAAGATTTTACAATATTGCATATCCAGCTGCAGTGCAAAGCAACACGATTAGGAAAACATGGAGGAGAAGAGTGACACTATAAAATCAAGATGAGGAAGAGCTCTTGTTACACGATTACAAGATTATTGCACTGCAGTGTCAGCTTTTTGAAGGGAAAGATGATACAAATAATGTTTATTGTTATGCCGCCAGCATTAATATAAACTGTTAACCCTAAAACAAGAAACTACATTTTTGTTGTAAGGGACCTTACACCTCATACATTTATTCATTTTTTGTTTTACTGGTTTGAACCTCAAGTGATGCAAAAAATAATCAAATGTGATGAAGTATAGTATTATAAAACACTTTGAAATGTAATTTGTAGACCATTACAATATTGTGATATAAAAGTACATTCACTTAGATTTTGAAATATTTCCACCCCAACGCGGCAACGCCGACAGAATATCACCAGACTCAACATTTACATTTCCACAACAATGACATTAATACGTCATCAGTCTCCTACCCTGATGTTAGTGTCTCCTTTCCTTATTTCCTCTCCTCCTCTCCTTGTTGTCCTGGTGATTCTGTGTAAATGCTGATTGGTTCACTGAACAGATAATTGTCATCTCCCTCTCTTCTTCCCGTGCTGTCTCCACCGTAGAGCATGCTCCATTCTGACCGTGTCGTTGGGTAAAGTAAAGATTTAAAATGTCGCTGCTGCTGATGATGATGATGAAGGTCACTGGTGTTTTTTTTAAAGCCGTCGTACACCCTGGCTTCCCAGCAAGCTCACAGAGGTCTGCCTCATAATTGTGATCTCAAGTTAAAGAAACTCAAGAGTAGAATAGACTTTAAATCTAATTTTAAAGTCGGATAGAGCGGGATCACGAGTGTGGATCTAATGCAGTGAGCAGCAGGTTAAGATCAGAGACTTATAAAGGAAAGCTGAAATCCAGGATTTGTTTGGTCTGGGGAAGTGTTAAAACTTCTTAAAGGTCCCATGTCATGCTTTTCTGGTTGTTACCCGTCCCCTTGTTTGTTATGAAGGTTTTTATGCATATAAACGGTCTGCAGAGTCACAAACCCTCAAAGTACACCCTGTAGCGAGTAAAACTCTAACACAGAAAAGACCTGTCTATGCTGCCCCAGAACGCCTCGTTGGAGATTTCTCTTTTTCCATTTGTTTCTTCCGGGAGCCGCATGACGTCATGCGGCTCCCGGAACCAAAATGGACCAATCCGCGGAGCTCCTCACACACCAGGATCCCCTGGCGTTAGGGCTGCACGATATATCGTGTCGTGACGATAATCGCGATATGCGCATGCGCGATATTCACATCGCAGGAAGTGCGATTTTTTTCAATACATTTGATTTCTTTAATATTTTTTTATTTTTAGGACGTGCGATATTAAGTAGACAAATTAACTCAAACACGTCATGTTACAATTATTTTGCTGCTTGCTACAAAAGGAAAACTCTCATGTCAGGGTTACTTGAGTGAGTGACATGCAGGCTAAGCATGCACAGCAAACCACCAATCAATCAAATCTCCAAAGCAAACGGACCCGGTGATTAAAGGTAAAAACACTGAATAAAGTAGTTTCATGTGTTTCTCCAGGGCAGTTCGGCTCTGCTAACCGAGCTAGCTCAGCTTGTTGCTCTGATAACTTAAGATCCAGACGTCCGTGACTAAAATCCTTCATCCGGTTAAATATATTCAAAGAAATACCAATTGTATAGCATTAAAGTTCAAGAAAAGATGGTTTGCGGACATAAAAACTGCATTTTCTTCAATTCCTGTATTTTTTCATATCGCAATATACATCGCAGGGGAAGAAAATATCGCAATGTCAGTTTTTTCCAATATCGTGCAGCCCTACTTGCCGTCACTATCAAACGCAGTGGGGGGACCTTTAGCGTAAATGTTCAACTAACAGGGAGTCCCATTGACTTGCATAGAGCTCCCTGAACGCTGGTAATAGACGAGTTGGGATCGCGGAGAAATGCTCTCCGCAGACCCATTCTCACAGCGTTATAAACCTTTTTCTTACTCAATATAAAGCCACACTTATTGTTTTTACTTCGGCTGTGAGTGTTGGTGTGTGCTCAGGATGAGTTTCGCGCTGTCTCGCTGTATCGCAGACCCGGAAACCACACCAGTAAGCCAGCTCACTGAGCAGTGAGCCTCGCAACGTCCCGACCAATCAGAGCACAGTGGGCTCACAGGGAGGGGGGGGGCAGGAGCTCCAACAAGCCGTTTAGGACAGAGAGTGAATACACATACTATACAGAGATGCTGTATGAGAAACCAATGTGAGTTTGGAAAATTGAACAATGTAAATCTATTCTAGTAGACCTCAACAATGGAATTATGATCAGTAGAAATGGCCATGACATGGGACCTTTAACACCCGATACTGGGTTTTGTGGCAGATACTAATATTGATAAATCAGATATCATTATTTAAATTAAGCTTTGGTTTCTAAAGAATCTGATTGTTATTTAAATTATCCATGTGATTTAATGGGCTTAGTTAGATTGGGACCACAGTGAAAATAATGTTTTTGGAAGGCTTAATGCCAAACAATGAATACTGAAGCAGATTAGTTTGACAAAAAATCTATCAATCTCCTGACTTTACAACACTGTGAAGTTATTGAAATGTTTACGTGAGTCAATCAATCTAAGTTAGCAACCACTAATTCTACAAATACATTAATACTAATAACATAAGTCTAATCTTTATGTACGATTATGCTCAAGTCCCGGGCTCTGGTTTCCGACAGAGGGTGAAAAGAGGTGCTGCAGCACAGGCAGTATGAAATAGATCAAGCTTTCTGAACATTAAAGCATGGAGACATGTCACAGTAGAGGCACTAAACACTAATATGATCCTGAAATGAGCTTAATAGGGCCCCTTATAGGAATCAGCCAGTAGAAAGGGACCTGATGAGATGAAGTAAAGCATTAATAAAGCATTGCTTGTCTAGAACAGGGTGTACGCACATCTTTATAAAAACTTCACAATCTGCAATGATCTCCAAAGCTCACACACAGTCACCCACTGGTTCAGAAGTTCTCATTGGAGATTGTGATGTGTCAGTTACAGCATGTCCGTCTGTCTCTGTTTCTGTTGTTCTGTTTGCTCGTGTGTCTGTTGGGTACGGGGTGTCACGGTGAATACGGGTCAGAAACATTTGTTTTTGGTCAAAAATGTATTTAAGTTACGATAACTTCTTTGTGCTGCTATTAGCTTTTTCATTTGTTGTGCCCATGCTGCAGGTTGCCTCCCAGTCGTATTGAGCTGCTCTGCAGTTGACCCTTCAGTGAATCTTTTATAAGGATTTTCATTTGTGTTGATTAATATTCAGATAATACTTTGTCCTAAAACATCTTTAACCAGACTATTTTGTATTGTATTTTTTTTTTTACACTGGTAGTTCTTTTTCAATTTTTAGGCACATCAATTACAATGTGAATATTTAACATCCATCTTGAACATTTTGAAGATCTGTGCCCGTATTTATCAAGCCTCTGACAATAGGAAATCAGTCCTGAAGAGTGAAACAAAATCTCAGAGTGACACGCTTTAATCCTACTTTTAGGACTACAAGTAAAAGCATATTATCAACTTCTTAGGCAATGAAAAAGAGTGCAGAGTCTGCCGATATTTAAGAGAGTTCCTAACCCAGGAGTCGCCAGAAGAAGGCTTTCAGGCGATTCAGTTTGGTTAATAAGTTGGTATTAATGTGTGTGACCGACATTGGGCAGTGTAATAACAAATAACATGCAGTAATAAACAAACGTTGGTAACTCTTACAGTGCCACATTTCATACAAAGTATTTTTTATTGATTTATACTTACTTATAACTCTATGTTGACAAGGTATTTAGTTCTAACAGGAATTGGACATAACATTTAATGTTCTCCATCATTATCACTGTATGTGAAATACTGCAAGATATATGTCCCACAGCTCAGAGTCAAACCTCCTGTATGTATTTATGTTGGGTATGGGACTGTGTTACAGCTTACTATGTAAATGGTTGTGGCAAAGCTATGCATCTATTTTCACATTATAATATTGCATATGCATTCTTGGGTATTTTCCCAAACACAAAAACCCTCGCACTAAGATTGTTGCACGACTTTGAAGAGACGCTTGATAAATACGGGACTACTTAACTTGCAGAAATGTAAAACATAATGCAGATAATTTAAAATGTTTGTATACATTTTCAAACCTCCATGGTGGCGTGTACTGAGGACACCGCCTGTATTAGTCTATTGAAACTCTGCCAGCATGTGAACTCAGAGCTGAGGCCAGATTTCATATTAAATCAGATGAATTATGAATTGTTGACACATCTGATCACAGAGGTCTCACTGCAAGTGTAACTGAAGAATCGTCTGAATATTACGTGGGAAAAAACAACACTAAAGGTCACTGTTGCTGCTATATTTAATGAAAGTCAGCTTGGAGATAATCCGCCCCTGCAGGCATTAGTGGGTCTACAATATTTTACCTATTTGTTATGTTGTCGCTCTTCACCACAGCCAAACAACGTATATTCCACTAAAAATATGATCTTACAACATGTTGTCTCCTGCAGTGGCGAGTTTCTCCAGGTGTGGTTAGCATCTGTCTGACTGACAGATGTCCTTTCATTACGCCACAGATCATTCACTGTTTAGTCAAACAGGAAGGTGGGGTCTGTGGACTTAAGACGCAGCTTCAGGCTCTGCTTCACCTCTACATGTTGGAGCGCTCTTTTGATTTGCTTTTTTCTTCCCTGTAATCCCTGGGTTCTGTTTCAGTTTGGGTTATACAAAGGCACAAGTGTAGGAGGATGTACCAAATGTATGTTCAATTTACCATCAGTGCACTGTGTTAATCAAAGCAAGAAAAAGACTGAAAACACAGGGGCAGTACCTACTTTAGGACAACAAGGATATAAAGCCACAACTAGTTTAGAAAAAAACTCCCAGAAGGCATTTATGAAAGAATCATCCAATAAGAAGGCCTCAGACTGTTGCCGTGATGGTGAGGTGAATATTCCAAAAACTATGATTTAATTTAGTCTCCATAGAGAGGCATCCCTCCCCTTTCTGGTGTTCCTTCATGGGATATTATTTTTAAGAACATATGTGCGGTAGTTATGGCAACTCGTCAAAGAACAATCATTTTTAGATTGCGTTTGAATTGTGGCATGAAAACATATGATGTTTGTCAATTCAAAGATAATTTTGCAAGTCAAGTAAGTCTCTGTTTGTTGTAGTATAATGTACTCACTGACACTAGCCAGCTAGATAACTTCGCTTTGTTCCAGAAGTTAATCCAAGTTCAAAACACTCAGACATCGTAGCTTCAGAGCTGGAAAGCTAATGAACTGGGACATATTAGGGTCCCATAGTGGTCCACTGGGAACTGCCGTTTTAGAATGAATATACCCCACAAGAAAGATGAAGCATCTGCAACTGGGAACTTGAACATTACTTAGTATTAGTTCAGGAACCACAGGGCCTTTTGACTCGATTTTCTTGAACAATATTTGTTTGTAACTGACCAGCATCTGTTTGTAGAGTCAAACAATGTTGGATTACCTGGACTGAAGGTTGGGTTTAAACTGATGGTGGATTGAATTCAGCCTGGAATCTGCAGACGCTGGTTACACAAAGATACTCAAATAACAATTACCACTTTGTATTTGGTCTTTATAAAGGGTTCATTGGTTCTATTTAATGATCAATACACATTTTTAGTAATGCTTCATAAATTGGTTAGAAGCCATCAAATATAACAGATGTTTTCAAACTCTGAAACACGCGTCCTCTGAGTGTGACTTTCTGAGGATATCCCTATCTCCAGAGATAGCCTGAGAATCAGAATCAGAGTAATACAGTGATACTTGTCTGTAAAAAAAATAATTTGGAAATGGCTAATTCTGAATACTTTTGTTGCAAGTTTGCCCAAATGTAAACCGATATCAGCTAATGTTAGGGTTTTGAGGTTTTAAAATACCTATTTTCTTCATCACCGATCAGACGGAGCACGCTGGTTGAAAACAGCCTGTAATGTTGAAGCCTACAATTTCTTTAGGCAACCACAGATTAAATGCTAACGTTATTTTATCACAAACCATGAACTGAGATAAAATAGCAAATAAGAAGTCAGGTCATTATTTCATAGACTTGTATACATTCAGACTTATTTATGCAACCTTTGGAGTCACCCCCTGCTGGACATTATAGAGAATGCAGGTTAAAGCCACTTTCACATTGGCTTTACTTTTCAGATTCCGAGACTAAACTAAGATAAACCAGACCAGTTTAAACCAGTTTATTTGATCTCTGTGTAACCAGCCTCTGGGGAAACTAAATGTCAGAAGCTAATCGTTTTGTTTTCTCACGCTCTCTCCCTTCGTTCTCTCCTTTATCCAGGAGCCCTGCCTGCTCCTCCCCCGCCTCCTCCTCCCCCTCCCCCTCCTGCACTGGACTCTCCCTCCTCTCGTCCTCCTCCTCTCTCCTCTGATGGAGCGGGAGGAGGTCGCACCGCCTTGCTGAGCTCCATCCAGGGCTTCAGTAAGGGAAAACTGAAGAAGTCCGAGACCGTCGACCACAGCAAACCCATTACCTGACCCCCCTCGCCTCCATCTCCTGTCCTCCACCAGGAGACCCCCATCACCACGACGCCGCCGTCCCCCTGGTTCTGCACTGTGGTCCAGACCGTCGCTCACTGAGATGTGAAAAGGAATCACTAAAGAAAAAAAATCATATTAGTTTTTATCGCTACTCCTGCTTTTTTTCAGCTTTTACATTTTAAAATCTGTGGTGGGAGAGAGTAGAGGGGAAGTCTGTCCTTTCAGGAACTGAACAATCATCTGAAGGTTTGTCCACTTTGACTGCATTCTCATGAGGAGACACCGGGCTCCAGATAAAAACGCTGGTAAACTGGGTGTAGTTGGGTATTTGCTGCTGCTTCTTTTCTGCTTGTAAAAGTGGTGGGATTTGAACATTTTGGAACCACTATGGATGCTTCATCCCGCTGATCATGACATGAATTTCATGGAGTCGAAACTCTAAATCAGTGCTCTGATACTGTGGCGCTGCACTGCTTCTGTATCTGGTCCAAACACAAGAAAGTTGGTCCAAACCTTTCCTCGTTTGCAGTCATCTCAAAATATCCAAATTCGAGTAGACTGTCTCACTGCAGGAAGTCCGTATGGCTGCACAGCTAAATGTAATTCCTGTCTTTAAATATTTTTTATTTTCCTAAAATAAATGGGGAAAAAAACCTTTTAGTGCAAAATATTCAACTTCTCTATTTTAGATTTTTCTAAAAATGCATGTTTATAAGGGAGGTCGCTGGATTTGAAGTGAGAACAACTGAAAAATATTTACATAAAAGATGATTTTCATCAGAAGCAAGTGGGAAATGAAAGCCCAGATGTATTTCCACTTGTTTTAGGAGTATGAAACGCAAGTTACAGACGGAAATGACTTGATACAAGGATGTTTGCTGCAGTGTGTCTGTCTGGAAGTCGAGCTGGGATCACACCTGGTTTTGTTTGATCTGAATGAGAGTGAGAGATTTGTTTGACTTTGTTGCTTTTTGAGATTCTTACAGTGAGAGCATCTTTGTTAAAACCATGACATGGATCCTCTGCAGTGTTTGTACTTCTAAAGAAACCCCACATCATTCTGTTCAGCTCTAAGAAAGAGATCACCATCATACTGTAACATCTGCCACACGTCACTAAGAGATGTCTGGCCGATAACGTGGCAGAGTATGAAGGTAGTGTGTGCCACTACTATTGCTTGTGCAGCTACAATGTCAAACTTGCACTTTTTGGTGTGAAAGACAGAGACACAGGTCAGACATCTGCTCTGTCCCGTGACAGAGAAACATGGATCCGCAGCTGTGATTGTTTTTAGGGTCTGAAATTAATCTTAAATACTTTTTCTTCACCCAGATCACTAACAATGTGTCATATTTTTATATTATTTTGCTTCTTTGCATGACAATAAATTCCTACTATTTCACATTTCTGACCCATACTGCTGCTTGTCCATTAACTTGACGTCACTGTTGACCTTATCCCAAATGATCCATCATTCTGTAGATGTCCTTCCTTCATGTTTGAGTAATCAATCCAACATCAACTTGCAGAGACTTGCTACTGAGAGAGAATCCACCATAGTCAATATTTACTGACATTTAGTTTGACTTTATCACTTCATAGTCATGTGGTGTTTTAAAGTTGTAATAAAAAGAATAACCCAACTTCAAATTGGGATCTAGCGCATCATCTTTGCTCATCCTGCAGAATTTGGAATTCATATTATTAACTATTAACACATTTTTAAATAAGTAATCAAGCTATAGGTCAAAATTGGGTTTGGAAAATGTTGATTTAGGAAAAGCCTGATTGGTTTATCAGTATCGATTTATTTGATTATTATCTATTGATGCATCACCAAGGAAAGATTTAAAAGCTATAGGTGGATGTTACTTATTTCTTTATAGAAATAACCTGAAGGAAGGAGATCGGTCCTTGTTATCGTTTGATTTGATCATTTGACCTTCACTGTCGGTGCAAATTGTTTTTGTTAATCATCTCTGCTGACAGGATTGTAACCAGAAGAAATGGAACCACCTTTACCTTCATTTGACATTCATTGAGGCTTAATTTCCGACCCTTAAAGTGCTGATTCCTGGTATTCTAAGTCTTTTATTGCATCGGTTTATATTCTGTTGTATTTTATTATGTGTTGTCACGGAGCTGAGATTATTTTATCGTGCCATATGGATCCTTGTGCCTATGGAAATATGAATGTTTTCTTTTAAGATATAAGTGATAATATCCTATACCAGATGATCTGTTTGTACAAAGTTCTGTCTTCAGGTTAGGCGATGTTCATTCAGACGGACGTTGAATTGCATCAGTATGTTTGTCTGCAGCACTTTATCTACGAGGGGTGAGAGACAAGAGGTGTATTCTTTTTATTTTTTGAAACAATTAAAAGCCCCAGAGCGGCCCTGGATTACAAGTAAAATGGTATGAAAACCACTCTTCAATCTCCAGTAGCTAAATGTATCAACTGTTTTGCCTTGTTATCGCCTTCAAAATCAACACATTAAACGCATCTGCAAAATAACCCTCCTCATCATCTATATTTACATTTAAATACAAAATCTAGCAAGCCTGTTGTCATGAAAACGATTTGAATAAAAAATGTTTCAGTAAAATTGAGAGTAAGTTGCAATTTTTGCAAATACTTGTGATGAACTGTGTTTTTAACACACCGAAAAAAGCGTTTTAATAAACAAAGATTCAAGTTTTTATTTAGTTTTTTTTTTTATTACTTAGATTGTGTGCTCAATTTCAATGTTTGAGCAACATGTCCCTCTTATAAACCTGTGCTTGATTTAGATCAGAATGTTTTTCTTCTGAATTAAAGGTGGGGTAGGTAATTTTGGAGAAACCAGCTCGAGATCGCTAGAATTTGAAAATACACAACCGGAGAAAATCTGCCACTTCCTTAGAGAGCCCCTCCTCCATCACACACGAACGCGCACATGACCAATGAGGGCACGAGATAAGTTTGTGCACAGATGGAAGGCTGACAGGCAGGTAGGCCATCCAGTTATTTTAGCCGGGCCGGCTAAAATGATTGGTCGTGCTTTTTACAGTATTACGGCTTCCACAGATGACATTTTTTAATGGATTTTTTGTCAAAGCACTTCAGATATTCATTGCTATCGGGATGTTAAGAGCATTCCATGGAATATAACAAAAAGTGTATCTCGAGCCGGTTTCTCAAACTTACCTACCCCACCTTTAACTCAGAGATTATGGAGTTATGGAGTGCCATAAAAAAAAATAAAACTGAAAAAGAATAACACAAATATAATAAATCCTTAAATATAAAAACAAAGGAAAAGATATAACTAAAATTACTTCTCAGCATTTTAAATGAATTTTCTTCTGTATTTATATATATTTTTAAATAAAAGAATTATATCAAATGTATTACTTTTAAAGAAATAATAATAAAGAAATAAATGTGAATATTAATGACAATTATTATTCTAATTGTAGTTATTTGTCTTTTTCACTCCTGTGACTCCATAAAGTTGCAGCTAAAGAGCTCATGTCATTGCAAGCACACGTGTTAATACAATTAATTATGCTCCCGTTCTGTCGGTATCCAGTTAGGCAGCATGCACATAACACACCCCTAATGAATGTTATTAATTACAGCTGCGTGTGGTAACGCTGCGAAGACCCTGCTGAGGAAAGGTGTGACACATTGACATTGTAATTTGGATTTTAGCCACTCTAAACTGTATTTACAGTGCAGGATCGTTGCCTCAATTATAAATCTATATTTTATGTGCACTATCACTCTACAATCAAAAGCTTTGTGTCTTTTAAAGTCAGGAACAAAGGAATCAATGAAAGGACTCAACCTCGTGTTTGTCTTTAACCCATATTCCCCTTTTGTATGCAAAGAAAGGACACCATAATGAAAGTGATACAGCAGAACAGCACGCCGTTAAGGCCCCAGTTTGAGCTCAGTCTTTGAGTGATTCTATAATTTAGGGTGCATTTCACATCAACAAAACAGTACAAAGAAAGTGTTCTTTCTCAACAGAACAATCAGTGGTTCAAGTTAGTATATTCTTCAGTGTAACATATCCACTAGTTGCAAAGCTTAAACATTTTTTTATTTTATTTTATTTTAAGGGAAAGGATGTTTTCACTACTCAGTTTGTCAACTATGTTACGGACAAACTTGATGTCATTACAATAATTTGATTAAGTCCTGCACTTCAAGTAAAATCAAATTTGAAAGGCTCTTGAGTCTATTCTACCATATATCCAAAGATTTTTTAAAGTTTAAAAGATAATTGTATTAAAGTTTTGTTTTTTCATGTGATATGTTCAGCACTGTCATTAAGTTTAGGGATATTTTGTATTATAAAACTACCATACAGGTCATTTTGATAGTTTTAAGAGATGTCATTATACTATAAAGGATATCAGAAGCACTATTTTAGATATTTTAAATTTGAAAAAATGAGGTGCAACATAGTTGACAATGAAAGTCAAACATTTGACGCAAATAACATAGTTGACTGGACACATTATTAACCATCAGCACTATGTTAATTTCAAGGCAGAAGTGCAAAATTCCATTGATAATGATGTGTAATGACGTCTACATGTCCTACAAATTGTCAACTAGGTTACCTGTCAACTAAGTTACTACAGTTATTACAGTACTGGGTAACTTAGTTGACAGGTAACCTAGTTGACAATTTCCCTATTTTGACCCATCATTTCAATGGTAGGCCTTGCTTGGATGACCACATGTCATTTTCTTGAACAGGTTAACATCACATTTGAACATATAATTGAATTAAAATCATTAAACAATTGTAAACCATAACAATGTACGTAACATTGTTGATGGTCAATTAATATACTCATTGACAATGTGCTATTATACATAAAATATTGTAAAAAATTAGAGGACAATCACCACAGTGTGTTCAAAATGTCTGCCAAAAAGGAACATGGCATCATGTGATGCTGGTGACATGGTATTGGGACAAACCATTTTTGAGTTAAAGGGGGGAGTTCTGTTAGTAACATAGTTGACAGAACTTTTGCGGACATTCATATATTAAGATATTTAAATTATTTAAAGGAGGAAATCAATTAAAAAGATGTTATTATTCTTTAGTATTTAGACTTTTGAAATAAATGAATACTTTTTTTTATTTACTTTAATGGTTTTTATTCATTATTTTGAAACCAAGACACCCTCAACTGAAAAACGGACAGAGCAAAAACTGACAATTTAAGAACATCATGACACATTTCAAGCTAAATAAAGCATAGGATGCACATAATGTTTGTGTGATATTATAACATGCTTTCCAATAATAGGCAAAACATGATATTTTTGAAGAAAATACTTAGAATAATTATAATTATCATCAATGGACATCAATGGACATGGAATGTACCCTAAATTGTAGAATCACTCCTTTACTGTAAGTCTTAAGCTAGGATCTTATAACACTCATGTCCTGATCAAACATAGGAACATATCCCATCACAGGCAGCTGTATGTGAACAAATAAGATCAATATAAAGAGTTGTAAAGCTGAACTGATGTGTGTCTTCAACATTGAATGCTGGATATTAGCTTAGCTTAGCTTAGCTTAGCATAAAGACTGGAAGAAGAGGCAAACAGCTAGCCAGCATGTGTCAAAACACACACATCAACACCTCTAAAGCTTACTATTTCACATGTGTTTTCTTGTTATCTGTTCACAAACTGAAAATGTAAAGCTTGAGGTATGTGCTGGATGTATTTCTTCCCCCAGGACATGGGTCTTCAAAGGTTTTTCCGGCCACGGACATCTTAGCTGGAAGAGAGACGAAGCAGGTACCACCGACCTTCATGTGTAAAAAATTGAGTTGCATATATACTGGCCTACAATAATTTTTCGGGGGGACTGAACAAGTGTTGTATGTATTTAAACACACATATTGTTATGGTGCATGCAATACTAAATATTACACTAGAAAAATTACATTTCTAAAGGAGTTGCAGTGTGAATGTTGTATGCTAAAGAGCTGACGCTACACTGCAATGCTAGCTTGAATGTGTACGAGAAAAGTGGGAAATAAGGAATTGTAGTAAAGTGTAATGGGTTTAAAATGTGTCAAGGTAATTGAAAAGTTGAATAATATCCATTATATTAAAAAGTTGTTTAAAATGTATAGCTAAATAGCTCATGCGATTTGGGGCAAGCGGCTAACTAGCTTCTTTCTATAAATGTCTGATTTTAATTTGTCCCTGCAGATCTTACAAAAGAACAGTCCTCTACAACCAAATGTCTGTTATCCCTCTTCAACATGCCGTGGTTTTGCTTATGCCAAACTATTTCCAGTCTTTATGATAAACAACTTTTCTGCCGATAAGATATTTATTTTATAGACGGTGGTTGTAAATGTGGTAATGTTTAAACAATTAAAAAAGCTTTCTCTTTGTTCAAGTAGTAGTAGAGTGAAATAAGACTTTTAGAATCAGTCCCTCCAGGAAATCTTGTTGTCATAATTCAACAAATGAGCTTTCAATTTAGTCCAAACTTCAAAAAACAGTTAAAAGTTCTTGTAAAATGCAGAGAATCTTCTGTATATATATGTGTTAGGCAACAAAACTGAGAGATGCTAGAGAGAGTGTCAAAAGTGTATTCATTTTTTATGTCATATCAAGAATGTAACCTTCACAAAATAACAATTTATTCTCCGTTAAAGAATCGTTCAGGTATGTTGATGCACTCTTACAGGTTCTGATGTAATGCTCACATTTAAGAGGATTTTGCTTTGGTAATGGCATTTGTTTGTGGTATGTGGCTCAACAGCAATCATAACTGAGCTTAATCTTTTCAGGAGACGATGTTCACAAAGATATTCATGTGTCCAGACTCTTCATCTGGAGGTCTTCACCTTGTCGACAGGTCTGAGTCTCCAACCTGAGAATAAAGCATCCACAGTTGGGAAACGTTTCATTTCTACTCACGAATTGTAAGGTAAGCAGTAAAAAGTGTAAAACATTTGATAAAGTCAACAATTTGACAAAGCATATCATTCGCGCCACCTGACTTCCATATAAGCTCCACTCATTATAACTACAGGTCACCGCCTAAAAATGTAGAACCTCCCTGCAGCATCCTGCTTAGGAATGGATGATAAAGGCCTACTGAACCAACTGGTGTAAGAGCAGGGCCAAACCCTTGTAATATATGCTCCAAAACACAAGTGATAACAGCCATTCAAGGCAGGTGGTGATTCCTTGTTGTTTTTAAGGTTTTTAGTGGAGGTATTTGTGCGACTACATCGTCGCTGGTGCTCTAGTTCATGTGTCTTACCTAAGTACCCCAGGCCATGATGATGATTGAATCGGTTTCACCTTGAAGTTTATTTCTGTAGGATCTGCGTCTCCTAGCAGCTTGGCCGCAACTCTGTTGGTTAAAGTGAAAGAGGAAGTTTAAGGGTTCAATCAATCCAGGCTTTAGAAACAACACTGATCCAGATATATGTGGACTGCAACCCAAAGCATCAGAGGGATGAAGGTGCAGCATAGAGTGATATTTAAATGATTTTTTTGTGTTAATTATGCATTTTAATCTGACATTTTTAATGAATGTTATTTCTGGTGGACCTCAGAAAAACTGCTGTAGTGCAGTGTTTAGATAGGTCTGTTTTTCTGCAAAAGCAAACTATGATATTTTATTAGAAAGTGTCCTCTGATTTTAGGGAACAACCTTGCCTGGTTTAATATGATTATTGACTGGCACAAAACAAGCTCTATAAAGATGTTTTTTTTTTTGTTTGTTGTGGAAGAACTTGAACAACAAATTTAAGCCGGACTTTATCACCAGCATCCATAGTTGGAAGATTTATTGAGATCCCTGCATTGAACATGTTACATGTATTACTTGAACCATACTTATCTATCATGTATGATTAGATACGTATGGTTCAAGTCATACATGTAACTACCCAATGCAGATAGAGAGATCCGATCAGAATAAGAAATACATAATAAAAATACACCCAAAACATGCAAAATGACTTTAAAAAAAAAGTAGAAAAATACTTAAATGTTTATAGATTCATAACACATGCTTTCTTAATCTTTCAAAAAGCTCTTGATGTAGAAACTGTTGGTTTGTGTATTTTATAACAAAACATCATATTTTATAAACTCTTAAAACATTGTGTTTTATAAAGGATTTGTTTCATGCAAAAATCCTAATTTCTAGAGTATATAAAGCTATAAGTAAAATGCTGATGTGAAACTGATGTGCTAGGGTGACACTTGCAGGACGAAGAGTTAGCTTCTGTGTATTTGTGTCTCTGAGTCTTTTTGTGAACGTACCCGGGTGCAGGAATTGTCACTTTTGAGACACAGGTTCATCCTGCAGTGCAGGTAAATGTCTTTAGAGTTCCCTTTGAACTGGAACATGTTGAAGGAGAAGTAGTTGGTCAGTCCCTGTCCGTTGCTCTCAATTACAATAGTGTTGTCAGAAGGGTTTGCACAGCTGTTTAGAAACAGGGAAACACATAAAACATCAGGGGTCATTTATTGTTTCATAGCCTTTATAGGATCTGAATCCAGCATCAAATCCTCCCATGAAACCAGAATACATTCAGATTCAAACAAATGAACTGAATGAATAAATAACCAAGTGTGTAAACAACTAATTGTGTGAACAACACACCTTATTGTTCACAGGTGACTTGGTGAAGTATTAATTTAATAAAAGCTAAACTGCTGAGAGACGCGATTACCAAATATTACGCAATTACGTAATGCAGTCTGTCAGACAAGTTTGTAGGAAAATCAAATCTATTTGGAATAATGTGGACTGTATACAAGAAGTAAAAGTAACCAAAAACCCATTGGTTTTATGAAGCCTCAAGTTTGGCATGTTAGTCATCTGTATTGTTTTGACCAATAGTGACAGAAGTTAAGTTTGACTAAATACTGAATAACACACTTTTAGCAACCAAAATATTAAAATAAACTATAAAAAAGCTTAAAGTTAAATAAACAACGTCAAAGTAGCAGTCGTCACTCACAAGGTGGCCCCGCCCTTAAAGCAAATCTATTTATCTATCAACAATTGAGACCTTAAACCCAAAATGTTTACTGACATAATAAATCAAGTAAGTGTAGGGTCATTTCCTCAGAGATTCCTGTACAACATTCAAACCGGTGGATTGTGTAACTTTGGGTCAGAGATTAGCTAAACTATCAAAATGTACAGATCTATCAAAACTCCAGTTCTGTACTTTTTCTTATCTAAAAAGAGAGTAAGATATTATTTGAATACCTCTTATGATATGATTTAAGGTTACTCTGCATAGGTGAGGCAGAGAAGTTGTAATTTTAAAATAAGCTTCAACAAAGTATAAAGTATATAACTCCCTATAGAACCACTACCTCCAGTAAATCAAAATCTTGTTATTCAAATATTTTAATTTCCCTATTTTATTTTAAAATGGAGCACGAAATCCAAATGCCTCCCCTGGAATAAATACATTATTTTTGAATATATTAGCCTCCAATTTACAGCATCAGAAAAAAAAATGTCCATGGCTCTTCAAATAAAGCTGTTCCTCCTTGTGTCTCTTACCCGTTTCTGATGAGGTCGTACTTTAGGTGCGTACTAGGCGACGGGTCGCTGGTTGCATAGCAGGACTCCGTCAACAAAGAAACCTTTTTCCCATCCACGTCGTCTGCCTTCAGCTCAAACCAGACCTTCTGGTTCACTCTGAGCTCGGTGTTTGGAGTCACAGACAGCGTACGACGGGCGTCCATGAAAGCCTTCATGGTCAGAGTGTAGTTCCAGATTCCAGATGTAACATACGCCACTGTAGCAGGGCTGAAAACACACCAACATCTCAGCTCTCTTATACTCACAGACTACTGAAACCTTGGAGCACTTCTGATTCCCTGTTATTTGAAAGTCTTCACAGAGCCCACATCTCCACATTTTAAGCCAGAGTTGGAAGAAATACTGAGACATTTACTAAAGTAAATGTAGCAATACTACAGTGTAAAAATACTCAGTTACGACTCAAATTCCCGCATTTAAAATCGTACCCAAGCAAAATAAACCTCAAGGACCAAAAATTGAATTTCTCATTGTTCAGTATGGCCTATTCAGAATCATGTATAACATTATTGTTATATCATTATTGATGCATTATTGCATTCATCACTTTAATTTTGCAGGTGGTAAAGATAAGGTTTACTTTATTACAAATATATCAGAATTTACAAGTTAATTTAAATATTGTATATGTGTATGTATGTTTGTCAGATAAATCTGCAAAATACCTACAAATTTAAGCTGCAAAATCAATGTAGTGGGAAATTAGTATAAATTAGAATAATGTGAAAATACTCTATTGAAGTACTAGTTGCTTGTCCACTACAGTACAGTACTATATGTACTAAGTGACATTCCACCACTGTTTAAATCCACAGTAGTATTTTCTTGTGCCTTTTTACTGTGTGTATTCAAAACCAAGCCAGTTAAACCAGTTGGCACTTAAAAACCGAGTATAGGCAAATCTTCTACTCTTTTCTAAAATATGCTGTTAGTCACTGACGTGGCTGTGCACTGCAGGCTGTCATGTGACTGCCTCTAAGATATACTTTATTGTGAAGGCACTTAAAGAGTTAACCCCTTTGAAACGCATCAGCATTTCCAATGGTTTGGATTATTTCCGGCATCCAGTCGCAAGACCCTGAACGTAGTGAACACAGCTGAAAGGATGATTGGTGCCTCACTCCCATCACTCCTGGACATTTACAACACCCGCCTCACCCGCAGAGCACTCAGCATTGTGGGTGACCCCACCCATCCCTCCACCTGCCTCTTCACCCTCCTGCCTTCAGGGAGGAGGTTCTGCAGCCTGAGGTCGAGCAGAACCAGACTAAAGAACAGTTTTTTACACCAGGCTGTCAGGAGGCTGAACTCTCTCCCCTCTCTCCCCTCCCTCCCTCTCTCCCCCCTCTCCCCACTGGACTATAACTCCCCACACACTCACTCCAATCCAGCACCAGACACTTTTTTACGCTGCTATGGACAATCTTGCACTAATGTACATTCCCAAAGATATTGAAGTGACTGTTATTTTGTATATATTGATTGTTGTGTTTTTCTATCTTAATGTGTGCATATGCATAAATGTGTCTGTGGATTGTATAGGATATACATATTTGTATTTTTGTATTCGGGATTGTGGGAAATGGTATTTTGATCTCTCTGTCTGTACACACAAACTGAAAGATTCACAATAAAGTTGACTTATGACCTTTTTTTTGTTTTTATATATATCTGCATTTTTCTAGTTTTTTTTTTTAAAGCACGTTTGTATCTTTATAGTTTAATGATTTTCTGTAAGTAGCTTCGACTAAAAGCGTCTGCTGAATGAAAATGATTGCTTTTAGTCGATGAAGCCCTTGCAATGCTATCCTCCAGGTCGGCCTAAATGTAAAGGTTTTTTATTTACACAAATTATTTTTATATACATTTGCTCTTATTTTTCCATTGAAATGTCCCTTATTTATGTTTGCATTATTATATATGTGTTGTGTCCCGTCAAAAGTGTTGAGTCTAGTCATGTTTCATGTTTTTGTTTAGTCCATTTTTGTATTGTCTCCCACTTCCTGTTTTGTTTTGACACTCACCTGTTACGTTTCATTCCAGGTTCCTTGACTCCCAACCCTGGTGTGTGTCTCCCGCTCTCAACAGCGCCAGCCCCGCCCCTGATTGTTTCCACCTGTGCCAGTTACCTCTTGTTTAAATTCCCCAGTCTCCCCTTGTTTCGTGTCAGTTCGTCTTGTCCTGTCCTATGCAAGTAGTCAGCGTACCAGCGATTACTCACCTTGTCTCAAGCCTGATTTATGCTCTCAAGTTATTTTGTAAGTTTGTTCCTCACTTAGTGAGCGATTTTCTTTTGTGCCTTTTTTGAACCTTTTTTGTAACCTCATCAAGAGTGTCAATCCTTATTTATATCCTGATTTTTGGAATAAAGTATCTTACTCATACTTTACCTCTGTCTCCTGGGTCGTGCATTTGAGTTCAATACCTTGTGTTTCCAAGTTCGGGACAATATGAAAGCTTTTTCTAATTCTTAAGATGTTAAACAAGCGGCTCAAGTTACTAAGTAAATCTAGAATAAACACACTTTGCATCAATAATTATAAGCTAATAATATGATATAAATAGTATTCTCAAATGTTCAACTCTGCATAATAAGAACTTTTACTTTTGGTACAGTTTGATGATAATGCTTTTTTGCATTTACTTAATTAACATGTTGTATGTAGGACTTGTTAGAGTATTTCCACACTGTGGTATTACTACCTTTACTTTAGTGCAAGATATGAGTATTTCTTCCACCACTGACATCCCTTCTCTCAAGAGTGTAAACTAAAATTCAACTAACAGTATTAAATCAATTCAACAAGTTAAAAGTTGTTGAATTGTCTTACATTCTTTTCTTTGTATAACTTATCCATATCAATAAAATATATTTGACATTTTTTTTTAAGGGAATAGTTGTGATCATTTGACTGTGCACGATGCATTGTGGAACATACTTGCTGAAGCCACTCTTCACTTTGATGTTCACTGAGAAATCGATGGATATCTCTGGAAAAGTGAAGGGGCAGGTGAAGTCAAAAATGTCCTCGCCGGTGGTTTCCAGCATGACGCCATTCTTGTTGATAACCTCGCCTTCGTTGTTCATCTGCAACGTCACAGGGCGTCAGACATTGTTACTGAAGACAATCCACACAAGTTCATTCAACCTTCAGCTCTTGTTTCTTATATATGACCTTTTTATGTCTCACTTGTAAAATTGTTTCTCTAATGTCCTTTTCAGAAAACTGCCAAAACAACGTTATCCTAATCATAACTAACATATATATTCATTTCATTTAATACAATTGCTTTCTGCATACCAAACGCAAGAGCGATATTTTTATTCATACTTTTCTATTTTTTAATATTGATTTTGATTAATTAAAGGAAAAAATAAGTACGTCATACCTTGGAGGACAATTGAACCCTTCCTAAAACTGCTTAAAAAATTATATAATAAATAATTATATAAAGGTGTTATGCGATTTTTTCCTTTCAGGTTTTAGCAACTGTTTTGCACATAATGTTTGTAGTATTGTATTTACATATTTATTTTAGTAGTAGGCTGGTCTATTATAGTGTGTTGTGTACTTATTCTGTATATTATAAATTGTGTATTCTGTATACATATATATTTTTTGTGCTTCGTTAACAGGCTGCTCCAACAAAACCATTTCCCAATTTGAGATCAATAAGGTACATCTAAATGAATCTAATCCTATTAGTGTCTGTATTTTGGCTACATACTTCTTATAGGAGCTGAGGTTAAACTTTCAAAATTAAAAATTAAAAATTACACCCTTGCCATAATTCATACTAAATGTGCTAACAGCCAAAATGATCGAAAAAGAGTCGGAATGGTCCCTAGTTGCACTTTATTTTTATTTTATTTCTATTTCTACCAGCACTATTTTCATGTCTTAAGAGGGCCCTGTTATCCTCATTTTCATGTTTATATTTAGCTCCTCTACTGTGACATGTTTACATGCTTTAATGTTCAAAAGGGTCCCGCCCCCTAGGCTTTCACATACAATGTGTTGGAGCGCCAGTCAATAGAAGCATGAGTGTTACAAAGTGATGTCACTATGCTATGGAAGCAAACGAAGGAGTCCAATCAAGGTTTTTCAGGCAGGGGGGGAGTGTGTGGGAGAGAAACTCCCTCTGGAGGAAACTTTGTGATTTTAGCCTTTGCAGACCATTTACATGCACACAAACCTTTGTAATACACTACAGGAATGGGGAAACCCCAAACATCATAATAGGACCTCTTTAAGTATATTTTTTGTTGCCTTTAAATCTTTGAGTCTTGAATCTTTAATTGACATCACATGTCAGAGCCACAATTAGGGAATGAATAAAACCTACAGAGGACGTCTGGCTGCTTGTTGAGAGTCAAAAATCGGAAGAGAGGCACCCACCTTGATAAGTGTCCCACATGGTTTGGTCTGGAAGTTGAAGGATAAGGAAACCATGTGGGTCACATTGTCCATTACACCTATGCAGGTCGAGTCAAAGAGGTGCAGATCTGAGTAGCTGATGCCCTTGTCCTCCAGGAGACAACCGTACAGAGTGACCAGCTGTGAATCGCAGGTTAGGGCCTCACCTGAACACCGTGAAACAGATTTAAATTACACTGCATTCAAAAGGTAGAATCAGCCCTTTATCTGACCTTTACCCTGACCTCTTAAAGCTGTCAATTTCTCCACTGTGGGACGAATAAAGGAATTCTGTAAAAATGTCATTGTAATGTGTCAAAAAGTTATGTTTTAAAAAGAAATTACATTTATGTTGGTCAATACAGGCGAAAGAAGCGTAGAGGTATATATTCTTCTCTCATTAAAGGTAATAGACTCAGGATGCATTCAAATTGTGTTAGTTGTTTCGGAAAAATTATAAATGAGTGAAATTGCTCCAAGTAACTAGGGGTCAGCGATGATAAGAGCTGTTCGGATTCTCTAGATAAAAGAAATTGTTCCTTAGTTATTTTCATTTAGCATAGAATACACCATCCTTTCGGAAAGAAACGGAGAAAATGCATCCAAACATTCCTTAAAGTTTGAGTGGTTCACCATTTTTACGTTTACAAAAACCTCTGATCTCGACTGACAAATTGGTATCATGTAAGTTACAGGTTGTTATTAAGAATCGTGTATCTACCGTCCATTTGTTTTTCTTTATTAAACAAGTAAACGGAAGAGCGTCTGAGAGGCCTTTTTGTATTTTGCTTTATACCTTACTAAATGGTCAAATGGTCCTTTTTAGACATAGGCTTATTATATTTACAGCCCTTAATAACATCCATTTTCTGGGCTCAATATGTGTCTTGGCCCTTTTCGTTGTGATCGCTAAATTCCCCTTGTTTATAATAATCACCGTTCCATCAGCAGGATACTGTAGCGATTCAAAGTGTGATTTTAGCAAATGAGTGCTTTTGTTTTGAAATCACTTCCGTGAGTTTCGCCCCGCCCCTCGCTCCAAGGACCATTTGACCATTTAGTAAGGTATAAAGCAAAATGCAAAAAGGCCTCTCAGACGCTCTTCCGTTTACGTGTTTAATAAAGAAAAACAAATGGACGGTAGATACACGGATTATTAAGCATTAAAGAATATGCTTTTTATTATTAAGCATAGAATAAGTAATATGTTTCACATGATAAGAAGGCACGGGGTGAACTATCTAGATGCGCTTTAAGTAGTCCATCTATGGATAATTGTAGTTTCACTACTGCAATAACATCCACTGTCGCACCATATTTACGTCATGCAGAGTACGCGCGTTCAGATTCTCTTTCCTAAGTCTTGAGGAACTCTCCTTCACATCTGTCCTCTGCCCCATGATGTTTTTTCATTAGGCGCTTTCACACCGCAGTACTTTCCCACTTTAGTTCCGATATATTTCCGAAATGTTGCGTTCACACCAAAAAAATCCGGTACTAAAATTAGTTCATGAGAACCTTTTTACCCCCTTTTCCGTCCCTGCTAGAGAGCAGGGACTTTCGTGGGAGAAAAAGGTTCCTATTTCTGATTGGCTGGGCGGATTGCAAACCACGCCCCGTAAAACTCCCAAAAAGTTTTGTGAAGCCGCCATTTTATTATCCTCGCATTAGCATTATTAGCATTAGCATTAGCCCAGTGCACAAACGCAGAGAGACTAACTTATAGCAACACAAATGAAAACATGGGAGCGGTGGAGATGAGGAGGTGTCGGCGTTCTGGCAATTTACTCGGAAGGCTTCAGTAGAAGCTGCTGGGAGTCCCAGCAGCTTCTACTGAAGCCAGTCCCCAACTCCGGGGACTTCTGGCCGGGGACTCCGGGTGGCAGTATATGCCAGTAAACCCAAAGCAGAAGAAGAAGAAGTGACGTCAGCGGCTTCATTTGCCTAATCCTCCCCCAGGGACTTATTCTGGTGTGAACGCGATCTGTACTTAGTTCATGAGAACTAAAGAGTTCTCATGAACTAAGTTCTGATGAACCTTTGTGGGAAAAGTACTGCGGTGTGAAAGCGCCTATTGGTAGGGTGCATTCACACCTAATAGTCCGCTTCTCTGGTGCGCACCAGACCACAGTTTGTTACATTGTTTCATTTTTCAGAAGGTTCGGTTTGCGTTCACACGGGCAAAACTCAAACGGACTATAAACTTTAAACACAAGTCATGTGCTCGGAAATGCTGTTCAACCATTGATTGGTCAGACATTAAGGGGGTAAAAACGCAAATCCCGGCAATTTCTACCGGAGCCTCCGCCATGGAGCATCGGCACTTTCGGCAGGTTATTCTCATGCTGCTGTTAATCTGGAGATCAACAGACACTAGCGGCCCGCGCATATGATTATATAATCAGACAACGTCCGTTAAAAAACATTATAACACATATAATGAGAGACGTTCTGCAGTAAGGAGGGGTGTTTCACCGACGACAGGGGTTCTTAATTTTGTGTAGTTGACGGAGCATTTTTTGTCATTTTCACGACACTGTTCAATACTTAATTCTGCTTCACTCTTTAACTAAACAACCGCGGATGTCTTGAAAGACTCTTTCGCTAAAGATTTTTTGAAGACATCCACGTTCTTGTGACACGTAAATACTACGCTTCCTATGTTTTGGTGCGGACTGCGTTCACACCAGCAATGAACCGCTCCAGAGTTCGCAAGCAAGCGTTCCGAGACCACCTATTTTAGCGGACCAGAGTCCGGTTGTTTAGTTCACTTAAGAGGTCTCGGACTGTGTTCACACCGACCCAAATGAACCGCACCAAGCGGCTAAACGCACCAGGGTTCGATTCAACCGGACTATAAAAGGCTGGTGTGAATGCACCCAAGAAAAAGTGGTTTGGTAAAGAAAAAGGACCTGCCATTAATAGGCTGGGCAATGGAGAAACATTTGACACTGATACAGGACATTTCTCCTTTTTAAATCGTCTATGAACATACTTTGCTTCAGTAGGACAAAGCACAGGGGATTATTGTGAATCTTTTTTTTGTAACAGCCTTCTCACCAAAAGGTTTATCTGATGTGACTGTTGAGGCAAATACAGCGCGGCAGAAGCACCGGGTTCCCCCGCTGGTCTCTCCGCAGAACTCATGAGAGCTGCAGAACCGGCCTTGACAGAAGGCCTGAGGCTCCGCGGCTGCAGAGACACAAAGAGAAAGGAGAGTTTATTTAGAGAGCACATTTCAACAGCAAGGCTATGTAAAGTGCTTTACAAAAAAACATTATAAGAATCATGAAAGACATATTTTTGAAGAAGTTTTTTAGAACAAACTGAATGCTGCTTCTCCATTTGTGTGTCTGGGGACAGAAGCTGACCCCTACCAGACAACCTTTGAGCTTTCGAGTTTTGTTGTTTTAAATGAAGCCCCCATCTAACCGATTCAGTTATTTAATTCTTCGATCCTTCTTTGGATCATGTGTCAAACAATTTCAAGTGGACTAAAGTGTAATTTATAAAGATATTTTCTAATCACGGTGCAGTGATTTGGCACAGGTTAGCTTGCTCACGTGATTGGACAAGGATTGATGGCTATTTTCAGATGATGTACATTTTAACAGTGATAAAAACGGTATAATTAGGACAGCAAATGAATTAGTATTTTAGCGTTACAGAAATTAGCCAACGTGCCAAAAACGAAAGTACTGGATCTCTAAAGACGACACATCACAAAATGGGCCAGTAATATGATATGGTTAAAGGTGGGGTAGGTAATTTTGGAGAAACCAGCTCGAGTGCGCTAGAATTTGAAAATACACAGCCGGAAAAAATCTGCCACTTCCTTACAGAGCCCCTCCTCCAACACACACGAACGCGCACATGACCAATGAGGGCACGAGATAAGTTTGTGCACAGATGGAAGGCTGACAGGCAGGTAGGCCATCCAGTTATTTTAGCCGGGCCGGCTAAAATGATTGGTCGTGCTTTTTACAGTACTACGGCTTCCACAGATTAAAAATTGTTATGGATTTTTTGTCAAAGCACTTAAGATATTCATTGCTATCGGGATGTTAAGAGCATTCCATGGAATATAACAAAAAGTGTATCTCGAGCCGGTTTCTCAAACTTACCTACTCCACCTTTAACACTTTAAGCTAACTGTATTAGTTTAGTTTAAAGCAATAATACTAAGTTTAAATAAACAAGATTTGGTTTGACTTATTATTATTGCTTTCAACTAATGTGTTGACACAATACATTTAATTACAGTCTACGTCTCAGTTTCTTTTTTCACGTTCAGTGCTCCAACATTACTATTCAAACAGCTAGCTAACAAATATATTAATTGTATTATACATTTTATTATTGGTTGATGATTTCACTAAGATTACAGAAATTAGCCAACATAAACAAATTAACTTCCTGTCTTGAGTGGGCGTGGTCTAATTAATGAATATTTGAATGAGCTAACTTTAACTATTCTTGCAGCTATTGAATATATATAATTGTTATAAAATATAAAAAACGATTTGGGGAACCCGTACAGTGACTCGGAGGACCCGATGTTTACAACCTGCCGCCTTTGATACAGTGGACCACAAAATATTACTGGACAGACTAGAAAACTGTGTTGGTTTATCTGGCAAAGCACTTAATTGGTTCAAATCGTATCTGCAGGACAGGGACTTCTTTGTGTCTGTTGGTTCTTTTAAATCGCAACAAACAGCAATGACTTGTGGAGTTCCCCAAGGGTCGATTCTTGGTCCAATTCTATTCAACATATACATGCTTCCACTAGCCCAGATCCTAAAAGTAAACTAAATGTCGTACCACAATTATGCGGATGACACTCAGTTATACATTACAATAAAGCCTGGCGACTACAGACCACTACAATCCCTCACCAACTGCATGGAACAAATCAGTAGCTGGATGAGCAACAATTTCCTACAATTAAACAAAAACAAAACAGAGACAATTATCTTTGGTGCCAAAAGGGAGGAACGGGCTGAAGTAAGCGCTAAACTAGAAGCCCTACTGCTAAATACATCGGAAAAGGTGAGAAATCTAGGTGTAGTTCTGGACCCCGACCTCAATTTCAAATCCCATATCAACACAGTTACTAAATCAGCAAACTATCACCTGAAAAACATAGCCAGACTTAGAACATTCATGTCTCAACAAGACCTTGAAAAACTAGTTGACGCATTTGTTTTTAGCAGGCTTGATTACTGTAATAGTGTAAATCGGTTAAAAAACTACAACTAATCCAGAACGCCGCTGCCAGAGTCCTGACCATAACAAAAAGAGTAGAACACATCACCCCAGTACTCATATCTCTGCACTGGCTACCAGTAGCCTACAGAATCGATTTAAAAATTATATTGCTAACTTATAAAGCATTAAATGGTTTGGGACCCCAATATATGTCTGACATGCTGCCCTGTTACGAGCCCCCCAGAGCTCTGAGATCATCGGGGGCGGGCTTATTCATTGTTCCCCGGCTCAGAACCAAACATGCCGAAGCTGCTTTTAGTTTTTATGCTCCCCACAAATGGAACAAACTTCCAGAAAACCTGAGGTCTTCACCAACGCTGAGTTCTTTTAAGTCGAGGCTAAAAACACTACTTTTTAGAGCCGCTTACCCAGAAGCCTTTTAACTTGTTTTTAAACTATTTTGTATCTCATTAATGCATTATCTTTATGAATCTGTTATTCCATTATGTTTATTTATTGTGTTCTTCTCTGTTGTCTAACTATTATGTGTTAATGATCATGTACTGTAAAGCACTTTGAATTGCCTCTGCGTCTGAAATGTGCTATATAAATAAACGTACCTTACCTTACTTTACCTGAGTTTTGAATCGTCTCACTTTGCATAACGCAACATTTAGCCCCCCGAGTTTGAATAATCTACAAACCTTTGCTACATTCCGCTCCTGTCTTAAAAAAGTAACTTTAAAGATCGACTTACAGCAGTTGACCTTTGACCTCCAGCCATCGATAGCGTCTGCGCTGTACAGGCTGCAGGCTTTGGCGTAGGCCTCAAAGAACTGACAGTTGAGGCCGTCTCCGGAGGGATATTTGCTCAAAGTGTCGTGGCAGGCGGTGACGTGGGGCTCCGGGTCGACGTGGCTGTGGCCGGCCGTGAAGGGCGCCCCCTTCAGGAGATTACAGCTGTAAGACGATAAAATAAAGTCTAGTCAGCAGGGAAAATGTTTACCAGCATGGACTACAAGACATTGAAATGTACGTAATGTAATACAAACAGAAACCTTCTAATTTCGAATGAATGGTTTGGCTTATTTGAATCTAATGTACTCGTAGGATTGATTCTGGATTTCGCTTACTGTAATTGGCTTTGAATAAAAGCATTAGCTAAATGTAAATAAAAGTATTTGAAAACGTGTTACGTAGTTAGATAGTTTTCTAATAATACAAATAATACAAAATGAATATGATTTTTTTGTAAATATTAATAATAATAATCATATACCTACTATCAGCTTCTCCAGAGTTTTTACATTTTATTGGACTTTATAATCTGCACATCAGGAGTAATAAACAGTCTCACACAATCACACACCATTGAACTGCTGACAGAGAACACTATGAAAATGTCTTTCTTTAAAACGTTTTTAAGGCAGCATGTTGTTAAGCATATGTCAAAGATCGAATAAACTCAATGGCTGGGGAAGTTTACTATCTTCTCTTGTAATGTGTCTGCTTATTATATCTTACCTATTTTAACTGATTCAATTCATTATTGTGGGACCATTTCGTTTTTATGTGTAGAGTTTAAGGGTGTTTGGTTAGTGTCAGGTGTTGTAGTTGTAGCTTGTTATGTTTCTGTATGAATATTCTCAATTTCTAGAAATGTTAGTAATATATATTGTAAATTCTTTCTGCTTAGGGTCTGGGCCCCTATTCTCAAGCTTCAGATAGCTTATGGGTTTCCCCTTTTACATGTCTCCATTATGTCTCATCATTGCACTTGGATTTGTTAAACTATTTGTGAAAAAATTATTGAATTAGACCGATGAGTGTGTGCTTGTCTTGCTCACTGTTCAGTCGTTGCGACGCTGTTGATCGTGCTGTCCGCTGTGTCTTCGTACTTCACATCACAGCTAGGAGGGTGACAAACAGAAAAAACACACTATTGTTTTATACAAGGACCCCACAGTAAATGGGACATTTTACACCAGAAGTGGCAGGTCTTACCCTGTTGTATTGAGATCAGTGAGCTCTGATATCCTGAAACTGCTGGAGTTGCCACATAAACCCGTCACATTTGGAGAAGATCCAGTCGGTCCTGATTAGTTTCAAGCGAAAGAGATAAATAACCCAGCAGCACACTAAAGAAAAGCATTCATTCGCTAAAACATGCTCACTTTTGAGGATACAGAGCAAGGTTGGAGGGTTCGCGTCGGGCCGAACCACGCCCCTTAGCTGTGACATACTGAGCATATACCAAGGCCTGTCGTGAGCTATTGCTTAAACATATAATTCATAAATGGGTGAAAATTGCTTGTGTCCATAATGGGCAGCATTAATATATACCCACATGACAGCTAAGGTCAGAAGAGCTTTATTTAACAGCTGGTCTTATGTCTGTGACCCCTCCTGTTGTTAATTGATAAGCCTTGAAACATGCACTTGTCAAGGTTCAGAGGCACATTTAGCAAATATGGCAGTAGCCATCGATCGTCTTAAGATAAGATAAGATAAGATAAGATAAGATAAGATAAGATATACTTTATTGATCCCAAGTAATGCACAGCAGCATGTAAAACATGCAATGTATTGTTACTTTGTAATTCTACTCCACTACAATTCAGAGGTTAACCTGGTTTTACTCCACTAAATGTATTTGGGTTACTTTGCAGATTCTGATTAATGATGTGAAATATAAACAACCCTTAAAGCAGACTTTAGTTACACCTGAGTAAAATTCAGGGAAGGTGATTGTCAAGTGCCAAAATAAACTATGCAATATATTAGACGTTAAGTACTTTGTCAGGCTTAATATTTATCTGTAGATACCCCCAACGTTTTTTTCTTATTCAAAAGAAGACCTTAACTTCAAGTATTCTTTAATGTTTAAATAAAGCCTTATTAGTTTGTCTGTTTTGCACATCCTCCTATTAATATCTTTGGACGTCCTGCACTAAACTGTTGATATTTTCTATTCTATATTTCTATCATTGACCTTCTACTTTCCCCCTATTTTGTATGTATGCTACTCTTAATATTTAAATGTTTTCATCAAATATAAGATATTCAATAAAAAAACTCAATAACGTGCTTTAACCACTAGGCCGTGCGGGTTAAAAAACGGTCAAGTTTACAGTGTTAACACAATAAATTATACTTTATGAAGATGTTACAAATAACACACAGCATACAATGCCATAATAAGTTTGTATTATTAGTGTAGGACACTTATGTAGGTAGATGAAGATGTGTAGTTTTATTCATGTTTTCACATCATTTTACAGGATATTGCTATATTATTTCACATATTGTAGTTCTACACATTAATATCTGAGGTATATCCGTCATTTAATGGTAAACTATTGAAATTGTGATTCCATAGATGTGTCTCCCATTACCCAAAACCCCTGACTATTCTCTCAACTCAGTATTTACATTCTTTAATTCAAAGAAAATCAGTAATATCTTTAAAAACTACAAGTCCCTTTCTATCAGCTGTGCACCGTTATGGTGTAAATAACCTATCTACCAATTGGATCAAATATAAAAGTCAGCCGAATTAATGTTGATACTGCAAGGAGACGTATTGTGTGAAAAGAAATGGAAGATGTTGTTTAATTGCTGATATATTTATGATCCACGTCACATATTCAGTTTCGGCGGCACTTCTTCCAGTTTGTCCAAAGGTCTTCTAATCAGGGCTCTATAAATACAGAACTACGGCAGATGTGTAATATTTAATGCAGCCGAACCGTGTATTACAATGCCGTTATGTGATGACTTCCAAAGAGAAAAGCAAGCACACTCGGAATAAAGTATTATTATTATTTTAAATGTTTTCGGATTTCACAACGCATAAACACCATATCCCAACGTGCATTGCGGCTAAAACATCCAATCACCGAGCTTCAACGATAGCTGAGGATTATGGGTAGTTCGATGTTTTAGCCTATCAAAACCTCTGAAAAAAGAAATGTGTCTCTCAGAATCGAAAGGGTAAAATCTATGGGAAAAACACAAAAGCAGTGTACACAATTTAAACCAATCAATATTGTGTAATTAACAAGGATAAACTGATGTGTTTTAGTGGATGAGTAGTGCAGATATCACTGTGAAATCATTTGACAGTGAGGGGAATACGGTTTTATTATGAAAACTTCGAGACCGGAAATATTGTTTTCACCCCGTGAGGGTTTACGCTAACTTTACATTGGGGGAAAGACATACACATTCTCCTGGCGAGACCTCAAATCATCTTCGTGATATCTATCAAACCATAGATCCTATACATCCACTGGACATGGATTCTAAAAGTACAATATACACTTCTCGCTAGAAATCAAATCAAAAAGCATTTTAATGGCCAAACTATTCTACAATTTAGGATTTTCGTTGCGTTTGCAATTGCCGCAAATTGTTGTTTCTTACACGACCACTAGTGGTGCTAAACTTTAAAACATGACTATAGATCGTAATAAGCTGCTGAACAATCGACCTATTTGGTCGTATGAGTTGGAGGACTTGTTGGAAGAACTTGTATTATCACACTCATGTAAACCTGGACATGCAAAATAGCTGTGTAAAAAAGGATGCATTTTTCTGTACCTTCAATGTGTATTAGTGCAGTGTAGCCATCAAAGAAGACGGTCAGGTTGTTGTTCAGGTGGGAAGTCTTGGCGGTCACCCCACTCTTGTCCTTAGAGAGCTCCACGCCGTGAACAACCGTCGCCGTGGCATCCAGCATCAGTGTTTGGTCGTTCAGCTGCGACAGAAGGAGAGGGAACTTTACTCCAATAATTAATAAATGTTATACAATCAAAATTATACTCCTATAATGTAATGCAGCCTTCAGAAGCGGGAAGAGACAACACTCCTGTTATTACAATATCCAAGGCGATATGTATCTTGTTAGGGAATAATTTGCTTAGGTATTCAACCTTTGACACAGTTCATTGTTCCCTGGCGCATATTACAGCTCTAGTTAGATTCAGGGTCCATATTTGTTTAGTCTCGCTGATAAAGAATGTTGATTATTACACTCCGAACTAGTTAAAACCTGGAACTACAGAAGAGTTGAGAATTGATTTGGCATCACAACCGTGTGGTCAGATCGTGGCCCGTGACATGTCTTGTGAATTCTCCGGCCGAAGCTCCAAATAAACCATCAGTGTTTGCCATCAAAGCTCCAGCTCTCCTCGTGTCTCTCTGAGTCCTGTTTCCAACTGCTTCAGAAGTTTCCCCCACAGTGTCCATTACCCAGAGCTCAAAGTGAACCCTATGTTTTACCTTCACTTCTCCGCCTTGTTCCAGATAAATATGAACACCTGGATCTTGCACATAGAGGATCACACGGTCCAGAAAGCTGACGTCTCTACGGCGTCGCTCCTGGAATGATGCCTGCACCTGGACACCTGGGTTAGTCTGGGAGTCCATCAGAGAATAAGCACACCGATCCTGGACAGAGTCCACCTGGCCCTGGATGTCGACAACAGTGGGGCCGGTCACCGTGCACAGGTGGCATCTGGAGGAGGGAAGGACAGACGAACAGGAATATAATAAAATCGTCAGAATAAGCACATATTTGCTAAAGACCCACATCTGTGCTCATGCATTCATCCTGCATCCAGGACAAATACCATCGCCTGATGACCTTCAAAGATGTTCAATTATCCTGAGGGGTGAATTTACACTTCAAATAATATTGTGAAATACTCAACATTTTACTTTCATTTGTCAACCCATCGCAAACTAAAATAATTGGGAAAAACACATACAATTCCTGTGTAAAAGCTACGCCTATATATTTACTGAGTGTCTCCCTGGCAAAGATCCGTAGCCGAGCCAAAGCTACAAAGATGGAGGACAGCAGTCAGGTGGAGCAGCAGGCGAATCATTTTGGAGGATGCCAGTCACAGAGCTGGAAGAGAAAGTAGAATTACTGTTATTGTGGACATCTTTTAGATGTTTTAATAGCACTTTAGAAAAGGACATATTATTATAGCAAGGAAATCTGTTTGAATGTACTTATGAGCATCTGATTATTGTTTTAAAAAGGTAAATCCAGATGCTAACATTGATCTGCTTAAATTGAAATGCTGCTTACACATACTTCATCAGTATTAATACTCCGAAAGTATAACATACTGTTTATGATAATAGGACACTGACTCATAACTACTTCAATTTTATGATACTTTTTGTATTTTACAAAGAAAAGCTCCAGAAATTATATACATATTTTAAATAATTGACAAAGCAGTAAGCACACAACTTTTTTTAAATATTAATAAATAAAAACAAATAAAGTAATGAAATAAATAGTGGGGCTATTGGGGGTTTAAATTTGCTTAAATAATCAATAAAAATGTAAATGCATGTGGTTTGTCTGAAAATAATATATGGTCAGACAATTAGAGTTAACCACTGCATTAGAAAATAGAAAGAAGGAACATCACTTTTCCAAAGGAAACAGATTACCGAGCTCCCTTTTTATAAACGGCAAATTATTTTCCTTTAAAATCTTCTTAAGATGAAAAATATTTCAGCAGCCCCTTTTAAGAGAAGCTTAAAGTACTTTTAAATAGACATTTCTTCTTTGGTCCTCTGACATAAAGCATAACATTTTCTGGTAGTACTCATTTATTTAACTCAACTAAATCATCATGTTACAAAAGTCCTGACCTAATAAACAGTCTATTTCTTTCCTAAAATCCACTTTATGAATATTTGTTGTTGCTTTTTACTATATTATAGAGAATTGATTTGTATTGCTCATGCACTTCTTACCACAAAGTAGCTAAAAAAGTGAAGAGTATGAATTTTCATTAACTTGTAATCTAACATATTTTCCATTGCTCAAAACTGCAATATTCATTTTATTGTTATTTGTTTTTACATGTGCTATACGTGAATTATATGACATTTTTCCATAATCACACACATAAACTTAAACATTCTTTTAATTAAAACTCCATCTATTGACAGTGAATCATCCTTTATGTAATTGATGCTAAACCAATCACATACTGTACTGTCAAGCCAGTGAAGCAGGAAGGTTCAGAGGAATGATTAGAAGAGTAAAAAACTGTGGAATAAACAGAGGTTTGAATACTGTGACATCAAGTGTCTGCTGTGGAAAAAGGCCTAAAGCATGTTCCTCTTTTCTTTTGTTCACAGCCATAATTACTGTGGCATGTTTTCATTTTTTACCTTTTTTTCTTGAGACACGTCAGCGTAAAAACACTGATGCAAATGTTATAAGGTATATGCAAATACTGAGCAGATTCAAAATTATTTCTACTCTGCATCTTGTGAAACCTACATTTCAACTTGACAGCACCTTTTGGTCCTTTAGAGACTATTTAAAATGTATTTATTTTTAACTCAAGGCGTTATATTTTAATTTTAAATCTATATAGTATATAGTGCGGATGGTATGGCATATTTTTCACCAGGAAGTTAGCATTTTGGCCTTTATAAAATATACTTATTTTCTTTTCTCAATTATGTTAAACGGAATATCTCTCTGGATTGACATTTAAAGACATGTCTTTTGACTTTCAGTAACTTGAATGAATATTTTTCACTATTTTTTGGCATTTCATGTATAATCAATTATACATGAAATCAGGTAATCACTAATGAAAATGACCAATAATGTCAGCCCTTATACTAAACTGAAAGTTGTTCCTCTAACTTTATCCATCTGAATCTTATCTTATTAAAGGTGGGGTAGGTAATTTTGGAGAAACCAGCTCGAGTGCGCTAGAATTTGAAAATACACAGCCGGAAAAAATCTCCCACTTCCTTACAGAGCCCCTCCTCCAACACACACGAACGCGCACATGACCAATGAGGGCACGAGATAAGTTTGTGCACAGATGGAAGGCTGACAGGCAGGCAGGCCATCCAGTTATTTTAGCCGGGCCGGCTAAAATGATTGGTCGTGCTTTTTACAGTATTACGGCTTCCACAGATGACATTTTTTTATGGATTTTTTGTCAAAGCACTTGAGATATTCATTGCTATCGGGATGTTAAGAGCATTCCATGGAATATAACAAAAAGTGTATCTCGAGCCGGTTTCTCAAACTTACCTACCCCACCTTTAAATATGAGAGAACAAATATGGAAATCCGTGAGTATTTTTGGTGAAATGTGAGGCCCTGGGATTATGAAAGGTGCTATATTATACAATTATACTTATATATATTATTATTATTACTATTATTATTAACACCTTTTCAGTGAGCACTTAATTAGAATCAGACAAAACCAAACATTGTTACTTTATCTAAGGATCATCTAGTGATCTGCTGATTGACATCAGTTGATTTACAAGCCTTGGTTCAACAGTGGGCTTCGATTGGTTCAAACAGAGATAAAACAAGTATATTGCTCGGATTTCCTTATTTTGTGAAGGCAAAAAGTATATATTTTTCCTTTCTGTCAGTCATTTAGCTTTGCTTCTTCAGTATTTGCTACTGAATGAGAATAACACATAACGGCTTTTTACATGTATGTAGGTCTTATTTTTCACAAATGTAAGTCTGTTTAGGTAGTTTTTAAGTTTGCCTTTTGCCAACTGCCCTGCTGTGTGTTTAAAGAGGCAGAGGAATAATACAAATGTGCAGAAAGAGATGGTTGTCTTACCTTCAGGAATATGAAGTCTGATGATAAACTCTCATTCAAATGGTCCTTTTGTCTCTGAGGTCTCTGCTCTGACTTTTTGGTTTGTGCGTGTGTCACACTGTACAGTATGTCTGGCTGGCTGATGACGTTTTCAGATTTATCCTTTTTTGACACTCTGCCCCAACTAGTTTTGTCACATATTCTCAGCAAATTATACGAGAATGTGAGAGTCAGGGTGGTGCTTCAATGTGGTGTGGTCTGCAAAGTGCATATTTTAAACTTATGACAGAGCCAGGCCTTAACGTTTGTACTTATATTCACTAAAACTGATGTATTATAATTAATCTATAACCCATGTCATTGTCATGAGTCAAGGTGACTAAATATAAAGAAAAGTCAACGTTGACTTATTTGTTACATTAAATCATATCTTTACCCAAATCTCAATCTTTCTCAAAACCTAAAACAAGTAGTTTACTAACTTATAGCCATCACTATTTTTTAAATATTTATTCCATTATTTGTTTGCCCTTATAATAGAAATGTTCTGCTTATTTCTTTCTTTATAATGTTGAAATCATTATATTCACTTAAACACAGCCACAGCTAAACAAACAGTGTGTGTATAAGTTGTGAACAATTGTCTTGAATGTAACTGAACAGGAAGAACTTGACTTAAACATTGCTGTAAAAAAAATATCCCTCCCTCCCTTCCCCCTAAAATAAAATTAAATGTCTAAATGTATTTTCTACTTTCTTAGGCCCTGTCCACACGGAGATGAAAATTAAAACGAACCTTAGTCGATATCAAAAAAGTCTTCCGTCCACACGGAATCGGCTCAAGAAACGTGTCCGTCCACACGAGACCGCTCGACCCGCTGGAGGCGCTGTAGTACATATGCCGGGCCTGTAAGTGGCGCTGTACTTCCGCCACAAAATACACCAAAAGCAGCGAAGAAGACCCCCTGAGCATGGTTGCAATGGTTGCCTGGTTGTTCAACATGCAACATGTAGTTCTCCATGTCCACTTGTTGCTGATGGTTGTGGTAGAGGAGCTGTAGATTTTGCACTAACATCTGTATCATGGTCAGTAGCGCCTGGAGCAAGAACACAACCCTGTGATCCGCCATTGTTGTTGTTGTTGGCGAAACGCATCAGCAATGACGCGGGTGACGCGGGGGTGAGCAGGAGAGGTGAGGAGAGGCGGGGCTATGATCGTTTAGGGCGTACACACGGTGCCGCAAGCATTACGTTAGCAGACCTTCCCACTTTGGGATGCGTTATCGTTTGAGGGCTCCGTTTCCGTGGTTCCGTTACGGCCTCGTGTGGACGAACCGTCCATACGATAAAGAACTATAGCGGATAACACCCGTTTCGTCTCCTTGTGGACGGGGCCTAACATGGGTACCAAGTACGTCATTTCCGGAATGCCCGCCGCCATCTTTGTGACAGACTCCGACAGTTTGTTTACGTCATGGCAGCAAACACAGCGCATTTAAACGGGACAGAGAGAGAGAGAGAGATTTGGTAAAGACGGCGATTATTGGTTGCGATCCCTATTTGCTACCCCCAACTGTATTTTTGTTTTATTATAGTTGTATTTATGTCTAAAGTGATGATGTTAGCTTGCTAGCCAGTTGCTAGCAAATGGTATTTCTAGCTAACATCATCTCTCCAGCTGGCAGCTAGCTATATATATTGTTTTAAAGCAACGTACTCTTCTTACAATGACAAATGTATTCTTATTTTTACAGATACAGTACATTTTGCTCTGGTAATCCACTGGAAATCCACCCCTCTGGTGGGATCAAGATAATCCAGTTTTTTGGGATCAAACTGATCCCAATCCTGTGTTGTCGGTTTGAACTACCCGTTTTGAAGATTTGATCCAGATTAAAGCTTGGATTTGATGTCCTGATCTGATTGGATATCAAAGTGATCCTAATCCTGTTTTTTGGTTTTGAACTACCCAAAATCCAAATCTGATCCGATCAGATAGGGATTCAAAGTTTTGAACTACTGGGCCCTGGTGATCATTTCTCAAGATATGAGCAGTTTATGTAATGTACTTGTCGCTTGTGCATCCCCCCTAGCCCTTTGACACAAAGGATGTAACACCCTGTGGTGTTATATGAATTAGATATTTGACAGTGTTGTGGTGCTTGTAATAGGAGTATGTTTGTGCACGTGCCCTTAAATTATTTGGCTTCTCTACAAACATTTCAAAACAGTCAATGATGGAAGTGCAGTTGCTAAAATTATCCCTGAATCACATGGGCAGACTAACCTGAATTTGATCTTTTGAGGGCGAAAATATAAGTGGTGACAGTCTGACAAACATGACATCTAAAGTATTGTTGAACATTCTGACAACACTTCTCTTAGACATATGAAAAAGATAAATAAAAAAATATAAAGGTAAGTTAAGCCTCATTCTCATCAATGTTAATAAAAAGGGAATCAGTCTTGGACCGGCTTTCACAAACCCAGACAGGAAACCAAAAACAACCATAATTTTAGCATAGCTTGGTAGGCCTGTTAGTTCCTGTACCATCTCATCATTTCCTTTGAAGGCTTCTTCATTGAAAGACAGCACATTAACTTTGTCCTTAAGACAATTAACCTCAGCTCTTGATCGTGCACACTCGTTTGTCAATGCCTTGACTGTAGCTTGGCAGGCTGCATTTGAGCATGGTTCCACAATACCTGAGCTAAGAATGGCTTGAGAGTAATTGTGGTAATCTTTCACACATTCTACCTGTTCAACTAGGGCGGGTCATACTCAGGTGCCAACATGAATCTGAAGGAAATCCTAACATGAGGGGTGTCTAAATTATGTGTTTTTTTATGGGGAATTCAAATATGAGCTTATTCTTTGGATAGGATAACTCTAACCTACATCGTTTTGTATTTCGAAATCGGCAATTTTACCCTTTCGAACCTCTATTTAAGATAGTAAAAGATATAAGGGAAATCATTTATATTGACAAAGCCAAATCCTTTTTACATATTTATTAACAGGTGAACTGCATATATATAACTGGATAAGATTTCAAAGATCAATCTTCTGACTTCTTGAACTTTGCAAGGTTGCACAAGTCCTGCTTTGACTCATTATTGGACATCAGTCTCCTGCTGGTCTCTTGAGCTCTGATCCCTCCATCCCTCTTTTCCTGTGAGAAGTACTTAGCAGAAGCCTCGGTCACCATTTTAACAACCCTCTCAATGCTTTGAGTATGGCAAGGCCAGTTGAGTACCTCCATGGGGGTTTTGATGACGTTTTTCACCTCCGAGGTGCTTAGCAAGCAGGTGAGAGGTGGCTCTGACACACCTTCTGACCAGCTGATCAAGTCCCCAATGCTGGAAGCATCACAATTGATGTCAGGTGTCCTTCTGGTCCTGACAGAGGAGTCCCCCAGCTGAGTGTCTGGGTCCCCCTCTCCCCTAATGGCCAGGATCACCCACTCAATTATCTCCTTCTGATCCTCAGAGCACAGCAGTGTTTGGAGGATCTTCTCACAGTTGGCATCACAAGGTCCAGCACCTCCTTCCTCTGGGACTTGAGGCAGTCCAGCTGAAACAGGATGTGACTAGGCTCACTAGCGACACTATAGTGTTCTTCTTTGATCTTTGCAGGAAAAGATTGGTCACTGCCCTCAGCTTCCATCATCACATTTGTCAGGTCAATCCGCCCATCAAAGAGGATGCAGGAGATCCCCCCATCTCTCTGCACTTCTCCTCAAACTCTTCTCCCAGCTCTCTCATCAACTTTTCCTGTGCTCTCTTGACCTTGTTTTTATCAATCACTTTACTTGTGTTGTCTTCTGTGATGATTCCTGCATCAATCAGAGCTGCAGTTGGTCTCAGCCCTATGCCATACCTTACACTAGCAAGCGTAATATTTGGAATATCATCATAGTTTTTCTGTACTTTTGTTGAAGCTGTAGGCTCAGGTTCAGTTTCAGGGAAGAGCTCAACTTCAGGGACAAACTCATCTTCAGCACCACTCTCCAATTCCAGATCCTCATCACCATCTGCCAAAAATCTCTTAACATCCTTCCTGGCTGCTTTGTCTGCTGCTGCAGCATTTTCCTCCTTGCTCCTTCTCCTTTCCTCAGCCATGTTTTCCATCCCCTGCCTTCCCCCATTTGGTGGGGTCCTTTACTTCCAACCCTCTTTTTCTGTCCCTTGATGTATGCAAGATCTTTTAAAGGAATCCTTGTGTCTCTGCTGCAGGAACAGTGAATGTGGGCTTGGATCACACAGCCATCACAGCCTCCCCCCTCACAACTGGTAATCCGACACTTGCAAGTCAAAATATCAAATAATTAGTCTAACTTGACACTGAACCTCTCTTTGGCATCAAGTTTGCCCTTCCCAAGGGAAAACTTCACTGCTTGATTCCAGACCTCCTTGAGCTTGGACATGATGGTCACCTTTTCATTAATAACAGGTGGCTTGAAAAGAGCATTGGCTTTGCTCCACTGACCAATCAGACCAGGGAAGATGTCACCCACCAGCTGGTCCACTGGGCAGTTCCTCCTATCATCTTTACTTTGATCCCTCAAGTAAATGCCATACCTCAGGATATCCCTCACAGTTGGCAGTTCAGACACCAACAGCTCTCGCCCAGTGCCAACAAGATTACTCAAATGAGAAGTAGATTTTGCCCTTGTTTTGACTTGAGCCATTTCAACTAGTTCACACTGAAAACACTGATACACAAGTAAGTTTCAATTCCTGTAAGTTTCACTTCAGACAGGAACATAAAAGCCCTGACTTCTAAATAAAAGCCCCCCAACTTAGTCTCTTTTTTCCAGAAGAATAGCAAAATAATCAAAAAATAGATAATAATCAACTGCAAATTGATGTAGGTTAGGTTTATCAGAATTGAAAAATGTCTTCAGATTTGTGTTCTACACGCCAAAATACATAATTTGAACACCCCTCTCGATCGATTTACAAAAAAAAAATAGTATGGCCCGCCCTACTGTTCAACTAAGGTGATGTCACACCCAGTGGCATCACTGGTGCTGGAAGGTGCCACAGTTTCATGGTCACTATCAGGAACCAACGTCTCAGTCCATTTCCTTTTCATCTGCTGAGTATGCTCAAATCTGCTGGTGGCATAGATGCTTCTCTGCCGCTGTCCAGCTGACGTGTGTGCAAACAGGCTGGGGATGTAGTCAGGGCTCATGGGGTTGTCATTTTTCCTTCCTAAGCAGACAGACTGTTACGTTCCCTACTGGGCTAGGGGAACCAAAGGGAAGTAACAAAATATAAAACTAGAGAATGCAATTCCTGAAGAAATTGCTAGTGGGAATGCTTTATGCTGAAAAGCTGATGCTAAACTGCTACGCTGAAATGTAATAGAAGAAAGAAGAAAGTGAAGAATTTAGATTTAAATGATACATGAACACTGGGGGCTTGAATGTGTGATGAGAGAAGAAAAGAAAGTAAAAAGGCCTGGAAAAGCAGCAGAATATTTGAACTGCAAACTTTTGAACTAACGAATCTGTCGCCATGCCAACGGCATTTGATGACATCCCATAATACGCTTAGATGCGTTGATGGCTGCATCGTTACCAAACCTGTGACGTTTTGGGCCGTTTGGAGCATTTTCACTGAAGTTATGAGAAAACCGTGTTTCATTACATTACATTACATTTCATTTAGCCAACGTTTTATCCAAAGCGACTTACAATTACCAATTACAGGGACAATCTCCCTGGAGTAACTAAGGACTAAGTGCCTTACTCAAGGGCACACTAGTGGTGGTGTTCCTGGCGGGATTTGAACTCACAACCTTCCGATCTTCAGCCCACCTCACTATCCATTAGACCACCACTATCCCCCTTCATGGCGAGCATTGTGTTGCCATGGCAATGGCATTTGAAGAAATCTCAAAACTGTCCCGTAGATGTCTTCACGGCTGGACTGTTAAGCACACATGTGAAGTTTGAGCACTTTTTGAACATTTTCATAGGAGTTATAGCGACATCTTCTTTTATGGCGAGGGATGCTTTTCCCGATGCGATTTGACGTAGAGCTGTTGAGGCATGGAGAGGTGATATACAGGTGAAGATTGTGGGGCGACCGGACCGTGTCCATTGGAGCTACAGCGACATCGTGTATTATGGCGAGGGATGCGTTTCCATGGCAACAGCCTATGGTGAGATCTCAGATTTGGCGTAAAGCTGTTGAGGCATGGACCGGTGATATACAAGCAAAGTTTGGGGGACGATCGGACCTTGTCCATTGGAGTTACAGCGACATCGTGTTTTATGGCGAGGGATGCGTTGAAACGGCATATGATGACACCCCATAATTGACGTAGAGCTGTTGAGGGCAGGACCATTAACCATTATCTGAAGTCTGCTGCTCTGAGCATGTCAGTTGGAGTTATGACATCATCGTGTTCCATGACACAGGTGTTTATATTTGAGCTAACGACGTGTCCAGAGATCAAAGGTTTCCATGGTGATGTGCAGTAATCAGTGAGAGAGCATTTTCATTGTTCTGAATGAGAGATAAACCTCTTACATGTGAACGTTTTGTTGAAGAACCGTAACAGATATCGGTGAAATTTCAAAGTGTGAAGCATGTCAAGGAACTTGAGCATCTGAAGTGTACTTTTTGTGTACTTTCGGGTTAATAATGTGGCCTTTTTGGCAGATTAACTAAAGGTGTGCGGCTGCTGTGGTGGGGAAAGATGAGGCTGAACTTACAATGGACAATGTAACAACAATGGACATGTTGAAAGTCTTTGTCACTTCATGCCCTCAAGAGGCATTTTGTTTAATTATTTTTCTTAAATCTTTTACATTTTTTAAGCTACGAGATGTTTTCCTACGTTTCTCATGGAAAATTATGTCTCAGGAATGTAGGGTTTGGGAATTATGGCAGGTTTAAAAGAAAATATGAAGGCAAAATTAAATCTGTCCTCCACTCTAGCTGTGACATCACGCACTCTAAAATCTGAAGAAGGCCTCTTTACCAAGGTCTGAAGGCAAGGCAAGGCAAGGCAAGGCAAGTTTATTTATATAGCACCTTTCAACACAAGGCAATTCAAAGTGCTTTACAAAAATGGAAGACATTATGAAAATGGCATTTAAAATCAGTCATTAAAAAGAAAAGATAATAAAATAAACATTAAAAGAAAAAATACATGGATAAAAGTTAAAAGTTACAGTGCAGTTTAAGATGTGAATAGTTCAATTAAAAGCAGCGGCAAAAAGAAAAGTCTTCAGCCTGGATTTAAAAGTAGTAAGAGTTGCAGCGGACCTGCAGGTTTCTGGGAGTTTGTTCCAGATATTTGGAGCATAATAACTGAATGCTGCTTCTCCATGTTTAGTTCTGACTCTGGGGACAGAAAGCTGACCAGTCCCTGAAGACCTGAGAGATCTGGATGGTTCATAATTTAGCAGTAGGTCAGACATGTATTTTGGGCCTAAACCATTCAAAGCTTTATAAACCAGCAGCAGTATTTTGAAATCTATTCTTTGACACACAGGAAGCCAGTGTAAGGACTTCAGAACAGGAGTGATGTGATCCACTTTCTTAGTGTTAGTGAGGACTCGAGCAGCGGCGTTCTGAATTAGCTGCAGCTTTCCAATAGATTTTTTAGTGAGACCTGTAAAGACACCATTACAGTAGTCGAGTCTACTGAAGATAAAAGCATGGACAAGTTTTTCCAAATCCTGCTGTGACATTAGTCTTTTAATCCTAGATGTGTTCTTTAGGTGATAGTAGGCTGATTTAGTAACTGTTTTAATGTGACTGTTGAAACTCAGGTCAGAGTCCATGACTACACCTAGATTTCTGGCTTTATCTGTTGTTTTGAACATTGCAGACTGAAGCTCAGCGCTAACTTTTATACGTTCTGCCTTGGCTCCAAAAACCATTACCTCAGTTTTATCTTTGTTTAATTGGAGAAAGTTCTGACACATCCAGTCATTGATTTGTTCAATGCACTTACTCAGTGTTTGAATTGGAGCATAATCTCCTGGTGAAATTGTTACGTAAATTTGTGTGTCATCCGCATAGCTATGGTAACTTATTTTGTTGTTTTTCATTATCTGAGCCAGTGGTAGCATGTAGATGTTAAAGAGAAGAGGCCCCAAGATGGAGCCTTGAGGTACCCCACATGTCATATTTGTCAACTCAGATGTGTATTTACCTATAGAAACAAAGTTTTTTCTGTCCTTTAAGTAGGACTCAAACCAATTTAGAACTGTTGCCGAAAGTCCCACCCAGTTTTCTAGTCGGTCTAGTAATATGTTGTGGTCAACAGTGTCAAACGCAGCACTGAGATCTAATAATACTAACACTGAAGTTCTGCCACTGTCTGTGTTTAAGTGGATGTCATTGAAGACCTTTACAAGAGCAGTCTCAGTGCTGTGGTTTGGACGAAATCCTGACTGGAACACATCCAAACAGTTATTTAAATGCAAGAAGTTACTCAACTGTTGAAATACAACTTTTTCAATGATTTTACCTAGAAATGGCAGGTTTGATATTGGCCTGTAATTGTTCATTACTGAAGCATCTAGATTATTCTTTTTTAAGAGCGGTTTAATGACTGCAGTTTTCAGGGCCTCTGGAAAAATACCTGAGTGAAGAGATGTGTTTACTATATGAAGTAGATCTGAGGCCATGCAAGGAAAAACATCTTTGAAAAATCCTGTTGGAATAATATCAAGGCAGCAGGAGGAGGATTTCAGAAGTTGAATAATGTCCTCTAAGTTTTTACCATTAATCTGATGGAATTGTGTCATGGTGTTTGAATTGATATTAGGTGGACATAGGGACAACACATTTGCTGTACCTGATGCAGAGGCACTGACTGCTTGTCTAATTTTCTGAATTTTGTCAGTGAAGAAGTAGGCAAAATCATTGCACGCCCTGGTGGATAGAAATTCAGAGGCTACTGACACTGGGGGGTTAGTTAGTCTGTCGACGGTAGCAAACAAGGCACGTGCGTTGTTTTTGTTTTTGGTAATGATGTCAGAGAAGAAAGACTGTCGTGCGTTTTTCAATTCCAAATTATAAAGGCCAAGTCTCTCTTTATAGATTTCAAAGTGAACCTGGAGATTTGTTTTTCGCCACCTACGTTCAGCTTT